GTTTTGAGGTAAATAACCTGAGGCTCGAACGCTGCTGCAACACCTGCACCAAAATATTGTAGCATAATTCTACATTACTCGTTCGGCTAAGTAGCCGGTCGCTGGATTAAAACATGATAAATCTGAAAAACGTTCTGAAAAAATTCTGAATGGGGACTATTTTGCCTCACAACACTCTGCATGTATCTCTCCACCATGAGTGTATTTTAGAAATATATTTAGGACCAAAATCTTCTCAGAACTATTATAAAACAGTGTCTCAGTCATCAGGCAGTGAATTCATAACCATTTCATGTAGGAACTTTCTGTGAGGAGCTTTTAGAAGTGGACGTCTGGTTCCTATCACCACCACTGTGAACAGTTCTGACTCAGTAAGTTTCTCTAGAACAGAGCGTTTCACACCAAACCGCTCTATAAACTGCTATGGGCTGAATTGGGCGGATGTAAGTAAATTGAGTGTGACATCACAAAAACTTAAAGCTGTTTTTTTTCCAGCTTAACTTTCATATACACTCTTTAAAAAGATGTTTTTTCAAGCGTTTTTTCATAAAGACAGTGGTTCTGTATAGAACCATGAGCACTTAGAACCATTTTCATGCTTAAATGGTTCTTCAGATTGATGGAGAATGTTATATATGGTTATATATAGCACCAGAAAGGGTTCTGCTGTTATTACAAGCTTGACATCATAACAGCAGAACCCTTTTTGGTGCTAGATAGGGCCAGTTTCAAAAAGGTTCTATATAGAACCATATACAACACGTTCAGCATTGTCCAGAACCCTTTAAGAATGCAAGTGGTGTTCATGGTTCTATATAGAACTTCTGTCTTTACTGAAGAACCCTTGAAGAAGCGTGTTTAAGTGCGTATGGGCTGCGTGAGCAGTGCGTCTTGTTTACATACTGTTCCAGCCTTTTTTAACAAGAAGGGGAGGAAGTTACAGGTTTCATTGTTATGTGCTCTTAAAGGGATGTTATTAGTGCTTATAACTTCGCAGAACCTTCATTCCGGCCAGCTCTGTAGGCCAAACGGTGTATCGGTCGAGCCCTACGTGTTGGACCCATTCACTAATTGCCAAAGCGTCTGCAGCAGGTGAGTGAGCGGCTGATCCAGGTCTAAGCTCATGCCATCTTTAATTAGGGAGAATCCTCTCAGACCCCCCAGACACACACACACACACACACACACACACACACACACACACACACACACACACACACACACACACACTCTTACGTAAGACTCTTGTAGCTCCGCTGTGAGTGCTCGTGCGAATGTGAGCGTGTGCAGGTGCGGCAGAGTCTTTGGAGTGTTCGTGCTGGATGAATAGGTTAAAGCAGAGAAACAGGTAGATCTTTTCTTTATACCTGTTCTCTCCTTTCTTTTGTCCTCCTCTTTCTCGATTGACGTCAGACCCGGAGTTACAATCCGCGTCCGTGTAACCCACTTAGTGACCGGCTCAGGAAGCACAAAGCTGAGTATCCCTGCTGTCGGAAGAAAACCTCGTATCTCCATTTTTGTTGTTTTTCAGTTATGGACATATTTTGAAAATGCATGCTGGTCTTTACATTGTATGTAAATTTCATGATGAATGGACCAAAGAAACGGTCCAAAATTACTTGGAAAAAAGTTTGGTTCCATTGACTTACATTAAAAGTAAAGTAGGTTTTTTCCTTCTCCTGTAAAGTTACCATTTTGGAGATACAAGATTTTGTTCCAACAACAGCGAAATGTTTGTGTTTTAAGACGTTTTGTCCGATTTTTGCCCAGCGTGCACTGATTTTCAGAGTGTTCGCTTAATTTATTTAATTTATTATATTTTAACTAATTAATTTATGCATTTATCTAAACAATCCACCAATTGTGGGAGTTCCAAGCGAACTGATTTTCCTGCATAATTAAATGGTTAAGATGTAATCAGAGCGGTTCAGAGTGGTTTGGTGTGAAACGCTCCGTTCTAGATAAACTTACAGAGTCAGAACTGTTCACAGTGGTGGTGATAGGAACCAGACGTCCACCTCTAAAAGCTCCCTCACAGAAAGTTCCTACATGAAATGGTTATGAATTCACTGCCTGATGACTGAGACACTGTTTTATGATAGTTTTAGAGAAGATTTTGGACTAAAATGTAGTGGTTTTGCAAAAGCTTCTCTACAGTTACCTATTTCATATCAAACCACTCTGAATGGCCACTTTCTTTCCTTCTTTTTGTTCTTTTACTTTGTCTCTCTCTCTCTGACTCTTTCTGAAGCTTTGTGCTTATAAAGTACGCTCAGTGTCTCTTTGTATAATATAATTTTGTGAGTGGTCGTCGTTGTATTGTGTTCAGACGTTACTGATTTCCAGCTGCAATATTGAGTAAATGAGCAATAAATTAGATTTCAGTCTCTGGTGTTTCAATAAGTGCACCATCAATGAGGGACGTTCAGAGTCCTTTTAAATCATTAAAGCGCTGATATAACATGGAGGCGTCACCCACAGCTGTGCCATCTCTGCTTTTACCTCGTGTTTAATAGCGTGTTATGACGTTTCGGTCTAGATCAAGTTCAGTTTGTGCAAAACATTGATTTTTTTTTCTTTTTAAATTTTAGGAAGGCATGCAGTTTTCTGGCCCTTTTACTTGGAAAGTGCACTGTGATGAGCTTTGCTTTGTGGGCTGTGGGTGTGCACGGGCACTCGAGCGCTCTGTTAACTCCTCCTGGTGCCAGAATTCGAGTGCTTGTCATATTCAATTAAGGAACGTCGAGGAGAGAATTCAGTGAAACTGCATCAAATCTCCCTGCATTACTGGAGCTCTCAGCGCCTTAGCGGCTGTTTTGATTACATTACTGTTCTGGGCTGTTTCTTCTCCTTTGTTCTGCGATTGCAGGAGGAGAACTTTCCCATCAGAAACTTGTCCTTTAAGCTCAGGCCTTTTCTAATGGAGCTCTTCTCTTTAGTGGTGAAAGTGTAAGGCTAAGCTGATTAGGGTAGAGTTTCAGGCTGATGCAGTATCTGTATTTCTGCTTCCTAGTTTAGCGGCGTCAGTCTGTGTGTGATGTTGATGGGCATTTTATCCATATTTACTGTCCGAATGAAAAAACAGTTTCTGTTCATTCAGTCAGAAGAGCATTTGTGAGGTCAGACACTGATGTTGGGCGAGAGGGTCTGCCTCACAATCTCCATGTGTGATGGGGTTGAGGTCAGGGCTCTGTGAGGGCCAGTCAGGTTCTTCCACACCAAACTCACCCAGTCAGGCCTTTATGGAGCTGCTTTGTGCTCTGGGGCTCAGTCATGCTGGAACAGGAAAGGTTCTTCCCCAAACTGTTCCCACAAAGTTGGAAGTGTACAATTGTCCAAAATGTCTTGATTCCCCTTCACTGGAACTAAGGGTTCTAGACCAACCCCTGAAAAACAGCCCCATATCATCATCCCTCCTCCACCAAACTCTACAGCTGGCACAGTGCAGTCAGGCAGGTAACGTTCTCCTGGCATTCGCCAGACCCAGACTCGTCCATCAGACTGACAGATAGAGAAGCTGATTCATCACTTCACAGAATGACGAATGGCAGCACTTTACTCCACTCTATCCGACGCTTGGCACTGTGCTTGGTGATATAAGGCTGCATGCAGCTGCTCGGCCATGGAAACCCTGCCATGAAGCTCCCGGTGCAGTTTCTGTGCTGATGTTGATGCCAGAGGAGGTTTGAACTCTGCAGTTATTGATCAGCAGAGCGTTGGTGACTTTTATGCTCTAAGCTCCTCAGAACTCGCCGACCCGCTCTGTACCTTTACGTGGTCTGATGCTTCGTGGCTGAGCTGCTGTGGTTCATAAACACTTCCACTTTTCAGTAATACCACTCACAGCTGATCGTGGAAAATTAGAAGGGAAGAAATTTCACAGACTGACTTGTTGCAACGGTGGCCTCTTATTACAGGACCACGCTCGAATTCAGTGAGCTCTTTAGAGCGACCCATTCTTTCACTAATGTGTGTAAAGGCAGACTGCATGGCTAGGTGCTTGATTTTATACACCTGTGGCAATGAGACTGAATGAAAAGCCTGAACTGAGTGATTAAGATGTGTCCCAGTATTTTTGTCCATGGTGTGTGAATGAGATGCCTAAATTTATACTGTTATAAACAAGTTTAAATTTTATTTGTTGCAGCAGCTCATGTTAAGCTTATGGTAATAAGAAGTGGTCAGTTTTAGCTCTGCCCATTCAAACTGAGCTTATAAGTAGTGTTTCAGCCTGGGCTGCTTTTTCTGAATGATGCAGCCTATAAGAGTTGAGGTCGTTTGCATATATTAGGAACAGTAACAAAAAGCCTGTTTAATTCTGAGAGATGGAGAAGCTGGAAATGGTCATGTAAAAACGATTTGTGACTGTTTTTTTGATACATAAAACCATATAAACATCTTAAGCGGCTTTAAAGAAACAAATAAAAGGCAGGAATATTGTAAGATAAGACAAGAATAATGCAGGAATTACATGTGGCTTATTTGAATAACCAAATAATATGCCTATCTGACCAAGCCTGCTCCAGTTTCACTGTTGTCACGAAGTGGTTGCTCATCTCTACCCCATAAAACATTAAAGCGCTGATCTATAAATCCTGCCGTGCGGTGCAGTAGCATCCTGGGTATGAGCAAAGATTGGATTATGATGGCTTTATCTTTTTTGGTGTAGCTTATCTCTGAAGTTACAGTATAGGCTAATCCACTAGTGTTCTCCTTTTTCCACAGAGATTATATTTGACTGGCTGACTGAGTCTCTAAAATCCGGGCAGAATATTGTATTGCAGTTTGCTGTGACATGTTTGGCCTGTGAAATGACAAAACCCATCAGCGCACATGTGATCTTTCCCTGTTACACGGTTTAAAAATAGCACTGCATCTGTGTTTTCAGGACAGAATATTAGTATAAAAATAATTAATGAACATTTCTGATTGGATGCTGACGCCAAGTAGTGAGAGAGAGGCTTGGCGACTGACGTTTGTCTGTGTTTGTTTGTTTCCAGCTTGCTGAGTGTCAACCCCAGAGTGAAGATGAGACCATGGTTCCTGTACTAACGTCAAAAAAAGCCAGTGAACTACCTGTGAACGAAGTCGCGTGTGCACTGCAGGTAATGAGAGTGATAGGGAGTGGGCAGTGGGGGGTATAAACCTCCCACCTCTATACAATTCGATTTGATTATAGTGCAGCTTTAAGAGACCTTCTCTTCTGTTTTTCAGTACAGGAAAATGAACAGCACAAACTTTAATTATTTATTTATTTATTTATTTATTTATTATAACTATAATAGGGGTGTTACAGTGCATTGTATCATCTTGTGTTGTTGTATCATGGCTGGTGTGTTAGCTCTTAGCTAATGCATTAACTCATGGCCTTCTCAGTCAGTCAGTGCAGCTAGAAGAAAACTGTTGAACAATTTGCAGCTGTAGTTTTTAATCTGGGATATTTCCAGTTTTGTTTGTGAGGTAATGTTCAAAAATGAGTATAATTTTGATAGCTTTAGCAGCACCACATCTTTCCAAACTACTGTAAATATAGCTTCATTGTGCAGCTCAACAGGCTTGGAGGAATTCTGTCATGTCAGCTAATTGTTAGTGGTGGGGGGAGAGGAAAGGACCACTGACGCCACTTGGGAGACCCTGACACATGATGTTACATCATAAAGCACAGCTTTTAGGCCCGATCCCATTTCATATTTTCACCCCATCCCTTGTTTTCGAATGGTTGAAGTCTTCTCTCTGAAATGGGACCCTCAAATAAAAAGAGCATTACTTCTGTAGGCGACCCTGCCAGTCTGCAGTGACAGCAGAGGAGGGTAAAGTTCAGCTCCTCACTGCTGGGCTTTAGTTACATTTAGGGCATCATATGACTTCAAAGAGGGGGCAATTATTTATTATCACCCACCCCTAATTCTTCAGTGATACGAAGCCGAAGTCAGATATTCCCCAGCTTCTTGTTCAAATTTTCCCGTTCCACCTTAAATGGAGCAGCAGTTCTGATGTCTGAGGCGCCAGAATGTAACTGCTGCACCATTTAAGGTGGAACAGGGAAATTTAGCTACCCAGCTACCGAGACATCAGCTACTACTAGCGATTTTTTTTTTGTGCTTGTTATGAAGAAAAGGACCATAATACACTGAAACGACATTAGACTAAGATAATACAGTGGTTATAGTCATTTTTAACGGAGAAAATTCTCACGTTTGTGGGTTTCTTTGGTCTCTCGTTCTCCATCTTGTCGTTTTTTTTTCTTTTTTTTTCTCATATCTCTCTGTTTGGAGTCTCTGAAAAATCTCCGTTTGGAGGGTCATGTAGCCCCAACACTTCACCCTCCCCCTCTATCTCAACAAGAATCAGGACACCCTACCCCTAGACCTAGACATGAACACACAAAACAGGGGTAGTGCTAAGTGGTGGGGGCGAGGGGTGAAATGGGATTGGGGCTTAGTTTGCTGTTTCTGTGCTGCTAAGAAACCCAGCTGAGTGGATCAGACTAAACTCATCAGTCCTGAAGTCTCAGATGTAGAGCAAATTAACACATTAACATATTAAAATGAACATACTAACATCAGGCACGTTTTCAAATATTGCTGCTTTTGCTATAATGTATAATGTGCTAAATCAAAACAACACCATAGTTTCTGAACCTTTGTTTGTTTGTAGCCATACTGGTTTAGAATATAAGTAGAAATGATGTATGTGTTGCACCTAAACATGTCTTAAGCGATTCACTTCTCAGAGGGGTTTAAGGCCTCGTCTTACTGAGTCGCCACCCTTTTTCATTGTTTCGTGAAAAGATAAATACATAGTCACCAAACAGGAAATCTAAATTACTTCGACATCCTGAGCTCGTAACCTGAACTGTGTGCGGGTTTTATAATGTGCACTGATCTGATAAATAGCGTGGCGAGGCTGCTGCGCCGGCCTGCTGATATTTCACCACTGATCAGTTGTGTCACGAGCAGATATAATCTCTGAGAGATGCTGTAGTTGTTTGTCTGAGTTTGTTAGACACTTTTTGCAGTTTGGGCAAGTGTTACTGCGCTGTCAGAATATAACTTGAATATTATCTGATCTGTAATCTGTACTAACTGCTGTTAGTAGCTGTTACTAGCAGCTGTTAATTTCAGTTCATTATATGCAGTATTAACATTTTGGCTAGACTTAGTTTAGGAGGTCTGAAATAGGAAAAAATGGAAAGAAAAATGAGGTACTTTGCATTTTGTTGCCATATGGCAACAGCATACAACAACGGAGCAGCAATCTGCAATGTATGCAGTGGGAATAAATCATCCAGGAATGAAGGCATGAAAAAAATGTGCATAACAACCATTTAAGTATGAAGGAGCTGCATGAATAAATTGTATTAATAATTAATAATTGTATTAATATCATATTCGATTGTAAACATGATGAAATGGCAGTGTTCGAGTGTTTTTTTACTCCATTGTGTGCACTGCAGATTGCAGCTCCATTGTCACATCCTGCTGCCACAAGGCAGCAATTATATTGTGGCATTTTATTTAAAATCCTTAAAACCTGAGTGGATTGTAGTTCTGAAATGGAAGTTATAACTACACACTGGTCGTGTTTACACTTTTTTTTCTTGACTATGTCTATAAATATTAGTTATACACACTTTTGAGGAGGCTTCAGACACTGAACCTCACCCTGTGATGTGTGTACAAAAAAATAAGTACAGACTGTAACAGGAAGCTAGCAGATCAGATATATCAGATTCTATAGAACAGAATGTCATTGTTGCCAAATGCCAACACTATGCAGTGAAAGAGTAAAAGCATTTCTTAAAAACCTGGTTCTAAAACTAAGTTGTGAGGCTATGCGCTAATTAAAACAAAAAGCAGCGATTAGTGAAATTAATGCAGGTCCTTCGTTGTTGTGTTTTGCACACGTTTTCAAAGGGAGACGGTTCCAGACTGCAGGCAGGTCAGTCTAGCACCTACTCTCTGATTATGCAGCCGTGCTGTTGTAACACTTGCAGAATGTTTCTTGCTGTTGTCGTGGTGAAATAAGCAGGGATGTCCCTGAAAAAGACGATGTCTGAAAGGCAGCATATGTTGCCCAAAATGTGTTCAGTGTTACCAGTGCTGTCATAGATGTGCAGGTCACCCACTAACGCCCCCGCATTATGACAGACACTGGATTTTGTACTTCATGCTGGTAACAATCTGGATAGTTTTCTTCTTAATCTGATGATTAAAATTGCAGTAAGTGTACAGAACACATACAAAGAGCAGTATAGTGAGCAGTTATTTAAATTTAAATACAAGCAGTTCAACCTGACGCTAACGGGAAATCTGATTTTCCATGCTTTTATTTTTAGTATTAAAGTTTGATGTAATATGTAAACACTGTTAGTTTCAAAACATGCCATTTACTTTGGTTACCACCCATTCCATATTTGGAAACTAGCTGAAATTCCTGCTTTCATATGTAGTACTGAAATCCGATACGTATCCGATCTGCGGCGATGCGACTCGGTCTGAACAGCCAGATAGCAGTTCATGCAACTTGTATGTCAATCCAACTTAACATTCGTCAGAATTTCTGCTGCTGAGATCTCAAACATTTAGGCTGATGATTCTGCACCAAAAATAAGAAGAAACTCATCCAAAACCCTCCGTGTTCGCGGCCGCAGGAGAACGAGGCTGCAGCGTCAAAGAACAGTTAAAAGTCTGAAAGCGAAGTTTAAAGAATCCGAGGACGCGAACCAAAGAAGTGACCGCGCCCTTTTTAACGGCTCGAACACATTCAGAGTGACGAGCCCAGCTGTCAGTCAGTGAAGCTTCATGATGGCTCCTGTGATGCTGGTGAAGATGAAGCTGATCCTCCGGGAGCGACTGGCGTTCGTTGGAAATTGATTGTTTACCTCTGGATGAGCCGTGAAGCAGCACGACGCTCTGTTCTTTTGCGCATGCGGGTCAGTTTAGGAGCTGATCTGTTCAGACTGATGATACAGATCACATTTAAAAGACAATCTGAACAGACAAACAAAAAAATTGGATTTGGTGAGAAGATCGGATTTGGTGAGAAGATCAGATTTGGGCCACTCTTACCTGCTGTGTGAACGCAGTCTTTGTAACACAAGCAACAGCAACACAAAAAGCCAGTTAATTCTAAGGGATAAAGAGAAGTTGTGTAAATGTGGTGAGAGGAGAAGAAGCAGTGCTGTAAGTTCACTGGATTTTCTCACTTTACTGATGCTGGTTATTCATTCTTCCTCTACACAGTGATCCACCGTCCACTTATTACTGTTTGAAGGCTGTGGTTTGTTGTCGTGTCTGGAGACAAGCTGAGCTGTTTTGTTAGACTCAAACAGTAAAGGACACTGAGTGTGTGAAGGCTACCGCTTCGGTTGCTATGCGATATGTTGTGGTCAGCATCGTCTGACCTACAGGTCAAAACAGTGCGTAGTCGGCAGGCTCGGAGGAAGGACGATTACCCGACCCATAGAATCAAACAGGACACCGCGCACAGAAACACAGTCGCCTTGGGTCTGATTTTTAATAACAGGAGCTGTGATCTGGAGCAGTGATGGCTGTTTTAAACATTTTTACTATTCACACATACGTATTCTTAAACTAATAGGGTCTGAACACCGTAACTAGAAAATATTTACTATTTTTATGAAAATAAAATGAAGATTTAACATTTTATAAAATTATAATTGGGCATGCAGCTAGTCAGCTATTCAGTACCTGATGGTCCCACTGATTTTATTGATTTACCTTTTGTGTTTTACTCTGATTTAGTAAATAATCTAAGTTTTATGCTGATTAAGTGCTTTATTTTTGTGATTTTGGCTGATGAAGCAATTTATCTTTACAGTTTAGGCAGATTTTGTGTTTGAAATGATTATCTTTGCTTTTTAGGCTGATTTTAATGATCCATCTTTGTGTTTTAGGCTGATTTAGAGGTTCATCTTTGTGTTTTTGACTGTTTTAGTGATCCATCTTTGTGTTTTAGACTGATTTTTAGTGATCCATCTTTGTGTTTTAGGCTGATTTTAGTGATCCATCTTTGGGTTTTAGGCTGATTTAGTGATCCGTCTTTGGGTTTTAGACTGATTTGCCGATGCATGTTTATGTTTAGTGGTTTATCTTTTAGTTTTAGGATGATTTTAAGGTGTCTCTTATTTATCATATTACCAGCTGTCCTACAGAACAATAATTTACAGCTTTACAAATGTATTATGTTTTAGTTTGCAGCATTTCCATGTACAGCTGCATCCTTTTGGCATGTTCTCTGCAGTTCTGCACCACACTCAGACTTAAAATTAAAAAGATAATTCAACATTTATTCTGTCTTTATTCCAACATGTTCCTGCCTTCTTTGAATACCTGCCAAAGTAAATGAAAGCTAAGGCTGAGTGTCTGTGTGTATGATGGTGCACCCCTACTGTAATGTAACGTTCTCTCCGAGTGATGTTATTTGGCGAATTTGCTCTGCTCCTCTGAGATTCTGCTTTCTTCATTATTATTTCTCTAAAATCCATGGAGATGAGCTAATGGATTTATTAGCTTTATCTGTGCTAATGGATTTATTATCTGTCTCCGCGGCTACAGAAACCTTGTCAACGGTTGCAGTTAGTATCAGTTGTCATGGTTACAATTCAGAAGGCGTTATTTTGGGAAAGCTGTGTTTCTCTGAGGTAATATTCTCTAATATGCTCTCCTCTCTGCCCCCTCCCTCCACCCTCTCCTCTGCTGTCCTCCCCTGCCGACTGTTTCATTAGGCCGACCTGCAGTTTGGCCTTTCTCACGACGAGGTGAGCCGTCGCCGTGCCTACCATGGCTGGAACGAGTTTGACATCAGCGAGGACGAGCCGCTCTGGAAGAAGTACATCTCTCAGGTGAGACACAGATGTCCAGGAAGACCCTGGCAGTGATCTCCGGCTGTGTCCGAGACATACAGCACTCTGAGGCAGGAAAGCACTCAGTGTTTTCTGAATCTAACGTCTGTGTAAAATGCTGCCTGCTCAGGTTCCTCCGTTCGCCTGGTTTTTGAAGGCAGCGTAGATGTTTCACTGCCTTACATATCCCATAATCCTTTGGTTAAAAAAATTGCAGAAAACATCACTCACACTGGGGACAAAGCTACTCTCTAAGACACTAAAGCTACGTCCACATTACACGCCTCATTGCTCAAATCCGATCTCTCTGACACGATGGTTCACACTCGTTTAGGTAAGTGACTCAACTCTGTCATTAATGTGACGAACCGGCGTCCTGAAATGACCCTCATGAGCTCATCCTGCTCAGTAACGTCACGTGAATGAATCACGTTCATCATCAGCACAAACTAACGAGCTTCGCTGAGAAGATCATTAACTCTGATCAGCTCTCAGCTTCATTATTAGAGCGAGACGAAGGAGAAAAAGGTGAGATGAGCTGCTTTTCCACCGTTTACAGGCTTTAATTCTGTACGGCGCTGCTGCCATGGTAACGCTGAATGATGGTCACGCGAAGTTGAAAAGAAGCACATGAATTCAGATCTGAGCGTCACATTAAGTTCGCATGGGCACGGATCGGATACGTATCTGATCTAGAACCACATATGAAAGTGGCTCAGGTCAGATTTGAAAAGATCAGATTTGTGTCCACACAGCTCTGAAAACATCAGATCTGAGTCACATGAGGGCAAAAAATCTGGTTTGTGCCACTCTAACCTGATAAAGTGAACGTAGCCTGACATATGACACAGTCCAACTTTCCAGTAATGTTCTGGAGTCTTAAGCAGGGGTTATCCACAAAGTGGTGGTTCCAGTGAAGCAGACGCACACCTGATTCTGCTTGTTTAACCAGTTGGTCTTGGTCTTCTGATAGTTTATTAGATATGTGGTTTGCTCCTACTTGGTTGAAGCAAAACCTGCAGTTACACAGGCCATTTTCCCCAACAATGTGTTTGGTAATTTTAACAACATTCACATACATTTACACACACACCAAAGAATGTATATATCTATATGTGAACTCAAAAAGATGCAGAAATCTCCAGTATAACAACTAGATTTAACACACACACAATCCACCCTCCCAAAAAAAGAAAAAATCGTTGAGGATCGTACTAGGGTAGTGCAAATTGAGTACATCTTGCATCAATGTACAAGCGATGAAAAATAGAATTAAAAATTTAGTAAGCTGAATAAGATACACTGTGATGGAGGATTCAAACCATATTTTTGATAGTCTTTTTTGGCTGCTGCCTTTTTTGATGAGTAGAAAGCAATTCTGCAGAGTCATCAAGTAAAAGGAAAGTCCAGGGATCGTTGTGTACAGTTTTTACCAAAATGTTAGAGAGACTAATACACCTACAGCGATCAGCCATAACATTATGACCACCTCCTTGTTTCTATGCTCATTGTCCATTTTATCAGCTCCACTTACTGTATAGGTGCACTTTGTAGTTCTACAGTTACAGACTGTAGTCCATCTGTTTCTCTGATACTTTGTTAGCCCCCTTTTACCCTGTTCTTCAGTGGTCAGGACCCCCATGGACCCTCACAGAGCAGGTACTATTTGGGTGGTGGATCATTCTCAGCACTGCAGTAACACTGACGTGGGGGTAGTGTGTTGGTATGTGTTGTGCTGGTCTGAGTGGATCAGACACAGCAGTGCTGCTGGAGTTTTTAAACACCTCAGTGTCGCTGCTGGACTGAGAATAGTCCACCAACCAAAAGTATCCAGCCAACAGCGTCCTGTGGGCAGCATCCTGTGACCACTGATGAAGGACTAGAGGATGACCAGCACAAACTGTGCAGCAGCAGATGAGCTATCGTCTCTGACTTTACATCTACAAGGTGGACTGACAAGGTAGGAGTGTCTAATAGAGTGGACAGTGAGTGGACAGTGTTTAAAAACTCCAGCAGCACTGCTGTGTCTGATCCACTCATACCAGCGCAACATACACCAACACACCACCACCACGTCAGTGTTACTGCAGTGCTGAGAATGATCCACCACACAAATAGTAGCTGCTCTGTGAGGGTCTAGTGCTAGCCTCTAGTGTTAGAGGCTAGTTTGCATTTTTTTCCCCCTTTACGACAATTTTTCCGCAATCAGAAGCTAATTTTCAAGTGGGGAGTAGAGGTCTATGCAGGACCCCATACCACCCCCCCCAACCCCCAAACAACATTTCATCCCTCTCTCAAATAAATCTGCGCGGTTTGTCCTGCTCACACCCACAGTTGTGTATAGCTGGTTTACGTCTGCGTTAGTCATGTAGTCATGACTGAAAATGACCGCAGTAGGTCAGACTTGCCTTTATTCAGCTTAATTGTCGTGTATTCTCCTTTATTAAGAGCTCTTTTCACAGCTGGGACCATCTGACTGTGAAGACTCTGTAGTTTCTGTAGCCTACAAGACAACAGTTCACGTGATTTACTTGTTCACATGATTGGCTGATTCTGTTCAGAACTAGTTCAGACCTTCTAGAAAGAATATATTGATTAATGTTCATTATTTTGCTGTAGGATATGATTTATATATGCCAGTTACTAAGTGAAGGCTATCATTAAATTTGGACTGTTGATTAATTTGTGGGATTTCTCTGCACATACGTGGTGTTGTCCTACTCTCGCCCACACTGGCCTGGTTAACTGCCCGCACCCGCACATGACACTGAAAATTAGCCCTTTACCACAAGATGATGTGGTGGGTCCTGCCAGTCGCCCGCAGCAATGCAGACCTCTAGTGGGGAGTTTGACTGCGTGGATTATCTGTTGGTGTGAAAATAGAAATGAGTTATTAGCCTTGCCATCGCACTCCAGAGTGATTAGAGGATCTTTTCAAGTATCTGATTATTACAACTAAAGAAACAACGCAGTGAGAGACGGTCTGAAACATAACTGCCCAAGGGACTCGAGGTGTGTGGGTTCTGACACTGACGTACTGTTATCTACAAAAATGGACAAACGTAATTCGTGCATCTCTAATGTTTCTCTGTACTTTCTGTGCCTTTGTTCTTCTCCTGCGAGGTAGTTTTTGTGAGTTATTTCTCAGAATATTGTTGCCGAATTGTAACAGGATGTTTGTAGAACGTTCTGCACGCTTCGCTCTGGTCATATGTGCGTGTTTTGTGGTCACTGTAGGGCTCAGCTTTGCCCACAGTGTCTGCTGTGCTACACAGGCCTGCAGCAGGCTGCTAAAAGTGGAGCAGCAGTGTACAGCGCTTTGGGACGAGCTGTGCTTCGTCAGGGTCACTGAGACGTTACCACAACCAGCAGGCTTTAGTTAGAGCCTCATAGAGAGAACGGCAATGGAGAGAAAGCAGCGCTGCAGCCACGGTGGCCATGATGCGGTTAATACATTCAATTAAAAATAAAATAATAGGCTAAAAGTAATCACAACACACTGTTAGAGCCCAGATGTGTTGAATCTATACTTTGATATAAAGCAGGGCTATCTAACTAAAACCTGTGAAGGTCCAGTTATATCAAATTTCTTGATTAGAAAGGCCCAGAAAAACAAATATAAGTGAATAACGACAACAGTGACCTTTTAAATGCTTAACTATTAGTGACCAGCTAACTAATAAAATAAAACAAGACTCATCAAATATATTTTGATAAATAATATAGAATACATTCAGACTTTTATGGATAATAGAACCTCACAATTTAAAAAGAAACTAACAAATCCAGCGTTCAAGAAAGCTCCGCCCCTCAGCGCTACAGAACTGGAGTTTCATGTCAGTCTGTGTTTGTGGGTTTGATTGTTTATTTAATTATTTATTTTGATTTAATTGACAGTTAAAAGTTGTCAATTAGTTATTAAATCACAGCATAAGAAAAACTGTTGGAGGCTTTTTAATTTGAGACCATATAAAGTTGGTTATATTGATTTATTTTGTTATTGAAACCTTTAATTACTTAAAACTGGCATCGGTGACAGTTTGTGTATCGGCCCTGAGTGATGTCTGCTGGTTTTAATTCATTGTTTATTTCATTGTTTTTCTTCATATTTTCCTTTTAAGGGTTTTGTTCTGTTGCTGTTCATATCAAAAGGCCAAAGCTTTATCCTCTCTCTCTCTCTCTCTCTCTCTCTCTCTCTCTCTCTCTCTCTCTCTCTCTCTCTCTCTCTCTCTCTCTCTCTCTCTAGTTTAAAGATCCTCTCATCATGCTGCTGCTGGCGTCTGCTGTCATTAGCGTGCTGATGCATCAGTTTGATGATGCCGTCAGTATCACTGTGGTGAGTTTCTCCTCCATTCATTCTTTCTCCAGGTCTCTCTCTCTTTCTCCCCACTAACAGCATCTCTTCTCTTCTGCAGGCCATTATTATTGTCGTCACCGTGGCCTTCGTGCAGGTAAGACCTCCTCGCTCTCAGGACTGATTTCATTCAGAAATGTGCTGCAGTCTTACTGACATGAAGCACAGACTCTCAGCTTTTTTGACAATAGGCCTTTTCATTAAGACTTTATTAGTAGTGGTCTGGAGGCTTTTTTAAATAATTTAATATTTTTCCTCTGCACTCAAATGTCCAAAACCTGTCAGAGGGGCTGATAAAGTTAAATCAGTGAGATTTAGCTGAAATCCTTTAAGCCCACAGGCAGTTTGACGGTGAACGCACGGTCTGTGTTTGTGTTTTGTTTGTTTACGTCTTGTACTTGTCAGGAATATCGCTCAGAGAAGTCTCTGGAGGAGCTGGGGAAGCTGGTGCCTCCAGAATGCCACTGGTGAGTCCTAGTCTTTCATTTATGTTTTTTTTTTTCTCTCCATCCTTCACTCTGATTTTGTCTTACTCTTGCTGCAGGCCTTTCACTTATATAAGAGCAGCTAATCTAACTTCATACTCGGAGCGTTAATCGACTCACCTGCACCTCAGAAAAGCATAAAAGACCTTCAGAACATATGGAGAGAAAGGGAGACAGGATGTAATTTCCACTTCAAACATTTCAAACATTGACATCCTCAGATTAGCACTTCAAACCCAGGCCGTGGCTCAGCCTCCGGTCCTGCCCTCCCACTTTCAGCCCAGACACGCACACCCAACGACCTCAGCACACTCTCACACAGTGTTTCATCAGGTTTCAAAACAAAAAAGGGATATTTTTAGCTCACGTTTGGATTGTGCTTGAGCCGTACACTTGCCCACTTCAGAAAAACCTACTTCCACTTGCTGGCCACTTTATTAGAAACACCTACCTTTTGTGTTATGTTTATGGCTTTTGGCAGACACACTTATTCAGAGCGATTTACAGTTTGATCGATTTACACAGGTAGGTGAAGGTAGTGTTAGAAGTCTTGCCCAAGGATGCTAATTGGTATAGTGTAGGGCGCTTGCCCTGGCAAGGGATCTAACCTAGCCTGTGGCATGGAGGGCAGGGGTGTTACCCACTACTTTATACCTACCTTGTACCTCCACTCAGTGGCCACTTTATTAGAAACACCCACCTTGTACTTCCACTAAAGTCCTTATAGAAAAGCCTGTCCACTGAAAGTCTCAAACCCATTTCTTATTTTTTAACCCTACTACTTGTTTTCGAGTGTCATCTTGGTAGTGGTTGAAGTCTTCCCTCTGAAATGGGACCCTCAAATAAAAAGAGCATTACTTCATTAACAGCTACCAGCGCTGCTCTGTAGGCGACCCTGCCAGTCTGCAGTGACAGCAGAGGAGGGTGAAGTTCAGCTCCTCACTGCTGGGCTTTAGTCACATTTAGGAAAGAGGGCATAATAATTATATACTATTACCCACCCCTAATTCTTCAGTGATATGAAGCTGAAGTCAGATATTCGCCAGATTCTTGTTTGAATTTTCCCGTTCCACCTTAAATAGAGCAGCAGTTATGACCATTTAGAGTGGAGCAGGAAATTTTGCTAGGTATCGATACATTAGCATACTACTAGTGAGTTTTTTTTTTTTTATTTTTTTTTATGCGTGTTATGAAGAAAAGGATCATAATACACTGAAATGACAGTCTAAGATAATAAGATGGTTATCATAATTATTAATAGTGAAAGGGCATTATTAATAATTATTAATAGTGAAGAAATGTGGGTTTCTTTGGTCGCTTGTGCCGATTTTTCTTGCTCTCAAGTTTGGAGTGTCTCTGAAACCCTCCATGACCTTGGAGGGTCATGTAGCCCTACCCCTCTATTGCAACAACAGTCGGGACACCCTACACCTAGACGTGAAGTGCAAAACGGAGGGGTAGGGCTAAGTGGTAGGGGCGAGGGGTGAAATGGGACTGGGCCAAAATCTGTCTTCTCATCTCGTCAGTATGTTGTACCTTTTGGCTCCGATAACGCACACAACAAGTTCTGGCTACTGCACATGCACATATCTCCACAACGAGGGGGACTTTTCCCGCTTGCGGCTTAACCAGCAAGCTGATTTGCCTCATCTTATTGGAGGGTGGGATTTTCTCCATAAACAGACGCCATGCATGAGACAAGCTTTCCTATTCATTTCCTGTTTGGCTGGTGGTCCATTCCCAGCATGGCAGTGACACTGACATGATTGTGTGTGGGTACGTGTGGGGGGGGTGTGTGGGTTTTACACACATCACTCTCACTGCTAGGCTGAGAGTGGACCACCCATCCGGCCATCCAGCAGCAGCGCTGTGGTCAGAAACTGACCACTGATGAAGGACAGCACAACCGACAGTCTCTAACTGCACAGCGAGAGGTTTCTGATAAAGTGGCCGGTGGATGAATATAGGCTACCCATATTTCAGGTGTATGGTTGTTTTGAGCATATGTAGAATGTGAGGTTATAGTTATGATGTAGTTGAGTGTTGTTAGGCTTATGTTTGATTAGAGTGAGTGTGTTTAAATATCCTTAAACAATTAAATAATCCTGTTTGTTCCACAGAACGGTGCACACCTGTCACCTGCTAAACCACTTCCCTGTCTTTTTTCTGTCATTGTTTGCCCTCTGTGGCGTTGTCTTCATTGTCTTTATCCTCCTTCCTCGAAGTCATATTCTTTAAGTCATATAAGCTTTACCTAAGGCTGTTAAAGGCGCGTTGGGTGTGTCATGATGCATCATTTGGAAGGTGATATTTCAGCCGCATTAGTTTTGAGATGCTATAATGCAGGCATGTCAAACTGGGGACCTTCCAGGCCAAAGTGCTGCAGAGATCAGCGTCTACCTTCATCTAATGCTCTGAATTCGGGTCATGAAGGCCTTAATCAGCTGATGAGCTGAATCAGGTGTGTTTAATGAGGCAGTGAGCTGAAGTCTGCAGTGTTTTGGTCTTCATGAGTCAATAATAATCGGATTTCTGCTTTACAACCAGCCAATAAACTCACAGAATAAGACGTGATGTAAACGGAAGGTAAAACTCAAACATCATGACACAGCTTTTTGTTTTTTTAAAACATCGAGTCACTTTACCTGGAAATATGAACATACATCATCTAGAAGATGAAGAATATTCAAACATTTCAGTCAAGAATGTATTTGGTTTCAGCGTCGCTCCAAAAGTGTTTTGCTGCGTCTCGCGGCGACGCTGCTCGCTTATTTCTGGTACCACTGTCTGTTTTCTCACATGCTCAGACTGAGAAATTCGAAAGAAATCAGAGTAAGAGTTTACAGCACTGTGAAATCTGATTACCGAGCTAAAATCCAGCCTCTTTATCGAATTTCTTAGTCAGATTTCTAGACCTCACTCAGATCTAGGAAATCAGAGTGTGCTGTTTACACGACCATTTGAATAATCAGATAACTGCAGAAATCCGATTATGATCGGATTATTGAGAGCATGTAAGTGTATGTTTGTTTGCTTATTTATTTATTTAGACCAAAATTAAGTTCTAGTGCTGTTTTCAAGTATGGAAATCCTAAAAAAATGTCAAATTGTTTTTATTGACTATGTTCCACTACTGTTCCAGTCACACTTCAGTGTATTTTTAAAAACGATTGAGTTGTGAAATTTGAGGTTTCATGATGCACTGACTCGCTTCCTAAATATGGCGATTGAATCATTATGAGGTCAGAGATTTTACCTCTAACTGTGCTGGTTCTCTTTCAGCATACGGGAGGGTCAGCTGGAGCACATGCTGGCGCGCGAGCTCGTTCCTGGAGATACAGTCTGTCTGTCTGTAGGAGAGAGAGTCCCTGCTGACCTGCGCCTGTTTGAGGTTTGAACAAACACACGCGCACACGCGAGCACACACACACACACACTTATGATTAAAATAAGTTTTATGCGATGTCCGTATGTGTTGTGTATGTACGTATGTGTTTAGATATGTGTTGCTGCTGTCAGAACAAAACCTCGTATCTCCAAAATGGTAACTTTACAGGAGACGGAAAAAAGCACTTTACTTTTAATGTGAGTCAATGGAATCAGACTTTTTGTCTAAGTAATTTTGGGTCTAGTAATTTTAAGTCTTTTGGCCAATTCATCTTGAAATTGACACACAATGTAAAGGGCAACAAGCATTTTCAAATTATGTCAAAAGCGGAAAACCGACAAAAGTTGAGATACAAGTCCCCCTCAAACGGCAGCGATATATGCATACACTATACATACACAATTGTTTGAAACCATTTGTCTTGGCAATAAGTGTGTTTGTCCTTGTAACAACTTATATATAACATTAGAAAATATGCAAATAAACATACATTAAAGTGAGAGTGTCTTGTGTTTTTTTTTTTTTTTTAAAAGTAGCTCATAGCTCAAAAGTAGCTCTGCTTTGAAAAGTTTAAGTTCCACATTTCTCCTTGAGGCCCCAGCCATCACGGGGATTTGTTAAATTCCACAAATTCCATCAGCAGCTCACCTGATTTAACGTAAGGCAGCACTGATTAGCCAAACTAGGTGTTGGATGATAACTACAATTAATACTGGGCTTCTTCAAAGAGAATTTTGGAAATGGATAAACACGAAGACACACAAACCCACTACTTATTGTATTAATGCTATTTGTAGTTGTTGTAATGTTAGTGTTTTTACTGAGCAAATAAACACTCACTGCTCAGATAAACTGGTTTAGAAATCATTTTCTCAGGTGCCTAAAACTTCTGCACAATATTTGTGTGTTTATGTAGACCAAAAAGCATCAAATGTATATATTTACATACATAATATTCAAAATACTTGCTGTTTTTGGTGTCTGGGGCCTGACACAGTCTCCTTTATCTTTATCTCTCTCTCTCTCTCTCTCTCTCTCTCTCTCTCTCTCTCTCTCTCTCTCTCTCAGGCGGTAGATCTGAGCCTTGATGAGTCCAGTCTTACAGGAGAAACCACACCATGCTCCAAAACATCTGCCCCTCAGCCACCTGGCAGCAACGGTGACCTCACCTCCCGTAGCAACATCGCCTTCATGGGTACTCTGGTGCGCTGTGGGAAAGCCAAGGTACAAAGATATTTTACAGCTAAATAAACAATTATTCAACCATTTCAAGGTTCGGTATGTGGGTCCACCTTCACTCTCATAACTATAGAACTTATATTCATAGTAGATACTGAATACCTCGTAGAAACTGAATAACTCATAGTTGGCACTCAATAATTCATAGTAGATACTGATTAATGTATAGAAGTTACTGAATAATTCATAGTAGGTACTCATTATTTCACAGTAAATACTGAATAACTCATAGTAGGCACTCAGTAATTTATAGTAATTCAAAGTAGGTACTGAATAATTCAGAGTAGTTCCTGAATAATAGGTCTTAAGATGATCATCATCATGTTTGTTACATAAAGGAAATGAGTGTAAAGCCATGACCACACCAGAAAGTCCTGACCTGATATGATTTAGGAGGGAATGTGTAGGTCTGAGGAGCCCTAACGTTAACTAGCTTGTTTTGCAGGGAAATTATGCTTCCTGATGAGCCATTCCTCTGTTTGTTTGTTTGTTTGTTTTTTGTTTGTTTGTTTTCCCCCTGATATGATACCTCAGTTTACCATGAATTGGCCTTTTCACCAAGCAACTTTTACTGTTTGACTGACTGTATTATTGTACCTTATGGTTTATAGTAATTTGTAAATAAGGGACATTTTTCCATATAAGAGCACACTGCACACTCAGCAGCGATATTCCATTCAAAATAGTTTCCAGTGTATGACCAGGCTTGACCTTTTGTCCTCAAAACTGTCCCCAAGTGTCTTATTTAAAAGGAAATAGACAAAGAAGTCTGTTTGTACCTTTTAGGGTATCGTCATTGGAACTGGAGAGAACTCTGAATTTGGCGAGGTCTTCAAGATGATGCAAGCCGAGGAGGTAACAGTGCACCAATCAATACTGATCAATCAGTGATTAAATGGTTTCTTTAAATGACTGTTTTTAAAGTTTTTAAAGTCTTTATATTGTTATTTGTTTTATATTATTATTTGTATGAGTTTTTGTTTCTTTCTCTTTAAACAGGCTCCTAAAACCCCCTTACAGAAAAGCATGGACCTGCTGGGGAAGCAACTCTCCCTCTACTCCTTTGGCATCATAGGTATTGCTCAAAAATGCCACGAATAAGGTTGTTTATGTAACGCCTAAATGCAGCGTTAGTTTCATTAGTGTTTGCCAATGAAGTATCCCTTAAAGACTCACCAATTAGCACTCACTACTGTTTTTATTAGCAGTTACACAGCATTTGCATTCAAGTGGCAGCATTTAATTGGCTTTAAACCGTGACTGTCTAACCCAGATGGTTTGTGCTGTTTTGCAGGGGTGATCATGATGGTGGGCTGGCTCCAGGGTAAACACATCCTGGACATGTTCACAATAGGAGTCAGGTGTGTCTCAGCATACATGCAGTATTGCATATAATACTATTGTTTATTTATTTTGCATTATTATTTTTTAAACTAATTATGTTGGTGTATAACATATGGCCAAAAGTATGTGGACACAAATCAATATAAATCTCGGTAATAAACAATGGCAGTCGAATAAGTTGTACTGAAAAGCTCAGTGACAGTTGCACCGTCACAGGATGCCACAAGTCATTTCCTGAAATGTCTGCTCTGCTAGATCTGCCTCTGTCAGCTGTTAGTGATGTTTTTGTGAAACGGAAGTGTCTAGAAGTCACAACAGCTCAGCCAGGAAGCGGAAGACCACATGAACTCACAGAGCTGGGTCACAGAGTGCTGAAGTGCAGAACACACAAAAATAATGAAAGTAAAAATTAGAGATGGGTGTAGAGCGCCTCCACTGGACTCAGTGGAAACGTGTTCTCTGGAATGATGAATGACTGTCTGGCAGTCTGATGGGATGAATCTGGGTTTGGTGGATTCCGGGAGAACGTTACCTACCGGAATGCATAGTGCCCACAGTAAAGTTTGGTGGAGGAGGGATAATGCTCTGTTGCCCCTTGATATGCTTCCACCTTTGTGTCAGGAGTTTTGGGAAGACCCTTTCCTGTTCCAGCATGATGAAGTTTGATGAGTTTGGTGTGGAGGAACTCCAGTGGAAACCTTTGGGATGAACTAGAACAGAGCTTGTGAGCCAGGCCCTCTCGTCCAACGTCAGTGTCTGACCTCACAAATGCTCTTTTGGCTGAATGGACACTTGTGGAAAGCTTTGTAGAAAGCTTCCCAGAAGAGTGGAGTGTTACAGCTGCAAAGGGGGGCAACTCCATATTACTGCCGATGGATTTAGAATGGGACGTCCAACAAGCTCGTAGAGGTGTGATGGTCAGGTGTCCTCATACTTTTGGCCATATAGTGCATGTATACATAACTACCTGTATAATTGTCATTACTTTCATTAAGCTAATGATGCAAAATAGAAGATTCACCATTAAAGGACAGAGCAACATTGAAGTAAATCCCTCTCTGTCTCCCTAGCCTTGCTGTAGCTGCTATCCCGGAGGGTTTGCCCATCGTGGTGACGGTGACGCTGGCCCTGGGTGTGATGAGGATGGTGAAGAAGAGAGCCATCGTGAAGAAGCTTCCCATCGTGGAGACTCTGGGTACGGCAGTTTTCCTTCAGTGGTATAGGAGAGAGATGGAGAAGCAGCTTTAGGTCTGGCCTGAGTGTTTTACAGCTTGGTATTTTACAGCCGCAGTACATAGGTTAGCAAACACTTCATTTTTATAAGTTTATTGCCGTGTCTTGACCCTCTGAGGATACTGTAATAAACAGAGTAGTGTGAGTGCTGGTGGTTGGTAGGAGACGTGAGCCACCAACCCAGAAGCTTGAGCTCCTCCCAGACTGTACATAGTTATGCAGCAAAGTGAAACATTTCCTTTAAGTTCATTTGTAATATACTGAAATAGTGTGACTCTCCAAAAGACACGCATGTGTTCAAACTAGAGATGACCCCAGGCTGATATCCAGTATCTTTATCACGTAACAGCAGAAAATCCTAGATTGGATATCAGAGAGGAAAAAAAACACAAATCTGATCTGGACCTGTATTCACAAAGCTTCTTAGAGAAACAGTGCTGATCTAGGATCAGATTCCTCTCTTATTTTCTATCACTTTACTGACAGGAACGGATCCTAGATCAGCACTACTTCTCTGAGTACATGCTCATAAAAACAGGCCCTGAGTCTGTAATAAATCTAGCCTGAAATATCACATAAAAACATAAAGCATGAAGTAAAATAGGCCACATAACAGCCGCATGTCCGCCAGTATTAGCATGAGAGCAAGTATGCTACAATGTATTGTAAGGAAATTATTTTATTTTATTTTATTTTAAAATAGTCTAATTTTGTACACATTTTGTGAGGCACTGTAAGTGATGTTTCTTGTAAAGAGGGTTTGTTTATTCGTCGTTCTCTTTCGGAGAACTGTAGAGATGTAGAACAGTGTCACAGGATCTGCTGAGTCATCCGACCTGTCCAACAGGATAAACGCGCCTTTTTGGTTTGGTTTTTGTCTCCCTTTTCTCACAAAGCTTAGCCGCATACGCAGATTTAGAGGCGTGGTGTGAATCTCGGTGACTAGACAGTGTCTTTTCCACAAATGATCATGTACTGAAGAGTATGTGATCAGAATTGAGACTGAACCCAAATTAAATGAGTCAAATTGAAATGATAATGAATATTAAACGTCATGAGCAGCACTTTTATTACTGGTTATTACTTTCACTGCTGTTAGTTTTCTTTAAACGCTTGAAAACATTAACGTGCTGCTTGTTTCAGTAGGTGACACTGAACGAACACCAGGAGACGGATTGTGAACGCTGTTAGATGCGAGTTAGAAGTGGCTGAGGTTTAAGTGTTCTGTAGATTTATAAACCTGGACGAGTGGCGACCTAGCAATCATAGTAGAGTCCCCCTCCTGGACAACAGAAATAAAAACGGGCCCAGAAGAACCAGGACAGGTGGCGGCCCGACAAAGCTGCGGGAACATAATTAAATACCGTCGCATGCAAAAGTTTGGGCACCCCTAATCAAATGACATTTTTTGTCAGAGTTTTGTTTATTTATAAAATAGGTTAATACCAACAGATCCCCTCCAGAGAACACACTTCTGTACATTTTAGTGCACATTTACTGTTGATTTGCTGAATTTACTATGACATAATGTGGCCTGTGCAAATATTTTGATAGAAATTAGTTTTATATTTTTCCAATACGTTGAACTGTTCGCTGTAGAGGAGCTTATTTTCACTCAAAAACAGCAAAATGTAATTTGACGGGGGTTTAAACTTCTACATACAGCTGTATATCGACATGATGGGACAAAAACTTGCATCTGTTTTTCCCATTTTCACCCTTTTTTCCCCTTTCTTTTCTTATTTTTATTTTTTTTTAACAGAATTTGTCACTCGTACGTTATGTTAAAATTTCATGATGAACTGCTCCAAAATCACTCTTCCAAAAAAATCTTGTTCCATTAACTTTCATTTACAGTTAAGAACAGTTTGTCCTTCTCCTGTCAGGTTACTATTTTGGAGATAAAGGTTAATTTTGCCCCAAACAGTGTTGATATGTAAGAATATTATAAGAATTCAACCATTTTCTAAATACTTTACACTTACAAATACAGGCGAGGCTGTAAAATGAGACCTGCTTTTTCATCTTAGGGGTTCACATGATTACAGTATGTATTTTGAAAGCTGCTAGATTGGAAAATGATGCATGTCATAAAATGACATTAGAAAATGAAATTGCAAAAAAAGAAACTTTTATTACTTTCTTGAATTGACATCTCAAGGGAAATAAGACTAACTCAGAGAAGTCCACATATTTCAGATAAATTTGACTAAAATACTGACTGTTGCCGGAAGATTGTTACTCATGAAACTGAATGTGGACTATAATTACTATAATCTGAGTATTATAAAATAATACAATATGTATAATTTTCACATGGTTTACGTAGAGTGTGTATTATATTTTAGAAAAGCTCTGATTTTACTAATGTTGTCAGCAGTGTTACAGCTTTACTGATATTGTTCAGTGAAACCGAATACGCTTAACATTCACATAGCACTCAGACAGATTTCTGATCAAATAATAAATATTTAATATAATTCATTTTTCTAGACTTGCACCCTTAAACTTGGCACCCGACAACTCGAACATCACCGCTGAAATGGACACTTTTTGGAGAACAGAAAAGTCCCCTTAGCTCCTCTTTAACACAGTTCTATCAGTAACGTCTATAAATAGCTCTGTGGGACTGAGATGCCACGTTTAGGGATGTATATTTATGGTGTGCAGGAAGGAAGAGAGTCATGTGCTTTAAAAAGCCTCATTGTCTCCACTTGATGAACATGACTATACTGGGCATGCAGGGTACAGAGGGACACAGAGTCCAGGTCCTGTCCTTCCTTTTTAATATAGAGTAATGACAATAAATAAATAATCAAATAAACTTAATAGATCCAACTAAAATAAGTAAAATAAAGAAATGAACTTGACCGAACTCTACCCCACCCCATAGTGGTCATGTAGCTATAATTAGAAAGTCTGGTAGAAGCATAGTTGGAAGTGATTGAGCGATTCAAAGCCAAGATGCATGTTTATACGTCTGTTCAGTTCGAAGTGGTTAATATTAAATATAAATGGACATACACCGATCAGGCATAATATTCTGACCACCTCCTTGTTTCTACGCTCATTGTCCATTTTATCAGCTCCACTTACTGTATAGGTGCACTTTGTAGTTCTACAGTTACAGACTGTAGTCCATCTGTTTCTCTGATACTTTGTTAGCCCCCTTTTACCCTGTTCTTCAGTGGTCAGGACCCCCATGGACCCTCACAGAGCAGGTACTATTTGGGTAGTGGATCATTCTCAGCACTGGTGGTGGTGTGTTAGTGTGTGTTGTGCTGGTCTGAGTGGATCAGACACAGCAGTGCTGCTGGAGTTTTTAAACACCTCATTGTCACTGCCACCACGTCAGTGTTAATGCAGTTGTTCTTAGTGGGCCAGTAATGTCATTTTAAGTCATAAAAAGTGGGGAAAAAAGATTACGTAACAATTAAAAATCTAAGAATTAAACATTTTCCAATTATAACCAATATAAATATTAATACAGATGTACAAATAAAAATGTCACAGTAGCAGGCGTCATCGTTTAGAGTTGTGTTGAAGCTTCTCAGGATGCTTTCACCTGCCTTGTTTGGTGAGGACCATCACACCTTTTCGTTAATTCACTCCGTTTTGACGTGTGTGAACACCCCACTGGTATTCCAGTCTGCAACAAACGGCTGAACCAGGACTGGCAAAAAAATCACTGGTCTCGGTCCGCTTCAAACATTTCACTGCTGGTGGAAATGGGTTCTGTGATCAAACAAGGGAACTCACCAGTAGAGATGGCTTTTCTTCTCTTCTAGCCGCACTTTCAGTGCTGTACACTTAATATAATCTGCTTGTTTAAATGTCTGACACTTTACAGACTCTCATTTGCTCTCATGTCCTTCCTGCAAAACGATTTGCGTCGGTTAAAAACGACAGGCGAGCCTTACAATAATAGCGAAGATCTATGTTTGACTTCAGGACATTAAACGCGAGCATCATCAACCTGAATGGTTAACCTCAAACTGATAAGCCAATGACCAAGCAGATATCAAGGAAGGTTTGTAACGCTGATCCAGAAGCCCACTGAGAGGAGTGTGAATCACCAAAACCCTCAAAACTAAAGAGACGTCCTGAGACCGAAATGTTACAAAGACAGTGGGTTATTTTCAGTGAAAACACCATGAACTGCAGCTCCAAATCACAGTCCACATCTACCTCGTACATTTCTACCCCCCCCCTTTTTTTGGTAGCATCACTGCGACTATGTTGTGTTTGTTTTGTTTTGTTTTTATAAACGTTATGGTTTTTAACATAACAGTAATTGTGATTTCTGTGATTGAACAGGTCTGATCTTTTTCAGGCCCTAGTCCTCAGGTTTTCAGTGTCAGCGCTTAAGAAAAGAAAAAGAAAATTACATAAAAAAAGCTGATTTTACACCTTAAACAACTTAAACAATTTAAGTTTGAAGTAAGCACAAGAGGTAAAGTAGTTCACCTGAGATGCAGCTTTTTCCCACCACATATCTATAACGGTAATCCCAAGTTCCTCCCAGTTTTCTTTGAGGGGAATTATAAAAAAAAAAAAATTCTAGATAATAAAAATGATTTATATGATTGAAAGGTACTTCCTCTAACACTAGGTAATCTATTTAAAATGATGGTGCCGACATTGGTACGGCCTCCAGATGGATTCATGAACCATTTGGAATTTATTTCATTTGTATTTTTATCTTATTTCTTTGTGTTTATTTGTTTCTCCTCGCAGGCTGCTGCAATGTGATCTGCTCTGATAAGACGGGAACCCTGACAAAGAACGAAATGACTGTCACTCATATCTTTACCTCGGATGGACAGCACGCAGAGGTAAAGGCTCAGACTCTTGTCTACATTCAGTTTGTGTTCTGCGTGTGTTCTAGCTCAGAGGTTCTCAACAACCAGGCTGCTGTCCGGTGCCGGGCTGTGAATCGTTTCATGGTAGGCTGCAACACTGTCTGTGTTTACATGCAAAGATTTTCTCCAATCCGATTGAACACGTATCCCGATTATGGATTAAGACTAAGGTGTTTATTCTCACTCTACTCAACAATCTGGAGGAGAATCTCCGTTTACATGCTCACTACAAGTAATCAGAACCAAAATGACACGCATGCATAGAGAACCACTTAGTGTAGACGTTACCATGACAACCAGCATCACATGAGTCCAGTCAGAGTGAGACGAGCAGCAGTGAGCAGCGCTTGTGTTTTTAACTGCTTTAAAATGATGTCAGACTCAGGAAAACGTCCTTCACATGTCCTTATTAAAGAAGGCCGAGAGGAGGACGTCGTGTTCTGAGACACATAAGCTGGACGTCCGTCCCACCGCCGTCTTTTAAAGATCAGAGCAGAAACTTAAATTTTCCGATAGGGAATGTAATCAGATACAGACGTTTACGCGGATATTATTCTTCTATTTAACGGATTATTTACAGGATTACCCGCCTCGTTCAGTCAGACCTAGACTGTATTCCAAATGGCCTCAATCAGACTAGACTATTCCGACTGAGGTGTTTACATGGACGGATTGTTTCGAGTGAGCGGATTATTAGTCGGATTATTAATGGATTATCAGGCTGCATGTAAACATGGCTACTGTGGAAATTCACAGTTTTATTATCATTAATATGATTAATGTCATTATAGTAGGATTAATTTTAAACATATCAGTGCACATCGTGTCTGTACTTTGACTGCATGTATGTTGATATCGGTTGCTTTCAGCTGAAGGCTAAAGTAAAGTGAAGTAAATTTTGGTAACCAGAATTAACAAACATTTTATTGGGGCTGCAAACTCAGAAAAACCATCAAAGACAAGAACAGAAATGACACCAAGATTAAAATAAAGCATCATTCAATCAAAAATATGATGACTGTGCATTTAGATCCTTCTAGAGGAGAATCACCAGGTGAGCCACATTTGCAGCAGCAAGCGTGTTCTTATGTGTTTGTCTGATCTGTGTTTGCAGGTGACCGGTGTGGGCTATAACAGCGCCGGAGAGGTTTTGCTGGACGGTGAGGTGGTGCACGGCTTTTCCAACACGTGCATTAGCAAGATCGTGGAGGTGAGATGCAGCGCTGATGCACACCAGCGTTCATTTTGTCATAATCACTGAAATGCTGGTCAACAAAGAGTTGTTAATTGAGATGAGAATGCAAAAAAAGATCATATTCCAGTTTTTCACAAGTGCTGTAACATAATGCATCACCAAAATGCATCTCTTTCTGGCCAAAGCAATCAGCAATCAGTCAAAAGCATGTAAACTAATAGAACACTGCTTTTAAAACACAAGCAAATCTGTCAAATACACAAACGCTACTGATGATCAGCTAAATACTCGCACACTCAATTAAAAATATTCTTAGATCCACACATTAAAAAAATATATATGGGGGCTCCTGAGTGGCGCACCCGTCTAAGCGTTGGCTCTATCATCAGGAGATCACGAGTTCGATCCCTGGTGATGCTGCAGCCATCCGTAGCCGGGAGTCCGAAAGAGCACAACTGGCCTCGCTCTCTCTGGGTGGGTGGGATGGCTGCCCTTCTCCCCCCATCACTCACTCAGCGCGATGCTAGTCAGCGCAGGCGTCTGTTAGCTGACGTAACAGATCTGGCGGTTGGCGCTTTCCTCTGAGCGCGTTCGGCTGTCCAGTGACGTTGCATGAGCGGCAGCTCGAAAAGAAGCGGTGGCGCTTCACAGGTCTCGGAGGAAGCCTGTGTTAGCCTTCACCCTCCTAGCGTTGATAGCATCGTGTGATTGGGGGAGTCCTAACTAGTGGGTGGAATTGGAGACGACTAAATTGCATGTATGTATGTATATATATATATATATATATATATATATATATATATATATATATATGCATGTAGGTAACATCTTTGTACAAATTGAAGGGTCTGAATTGTTGTCTTTTATTTATGGAGATTTTTATTAGTTTTGGGGGAGAAAAAAAAATCAAGCATAAATGTTCTCTAGGAAGAATCTCATCACTGTCGCACAAAACCCCTCCAATTTTGTTTTTATTACTTTTTTAGATAATTTGAAAACTCAGTTATCCCTTCCATTGTTACTGAAATTTTATGATTAACAGACTAATAGAAATGGTTTAAGCTTCCTTAGAACAAATCATGTTCCATTAACTTTACATTCCTTAACGTTTGTTTTTCTCTGCTCTCACAGCAGCGATTATATTTGTGTACATTCACAAAGAAAGTAGTGTGAATTTATTGTGCCTCAGCACTGCATCGGAGGAGGACCAGAAGAGGTCACGTGTGATCCTGTATCTACTTTGTTCAGACAGTGTGGGGCCATAACTACAGCGTCATTCTATGATCTTATCAAATGATAGTCTCCTCCATCAAAATAGAAAAGAAAGGCAGAAGTGCAGTGATGTGAATGATCGGTCATCTGTGCTCTTGCTCTGGTTTTTACTTGATCTTTACATTTGGCCAAAAATACCCTTTTTTATGTGTTCAAGCTCTGTGTCCAGGTTTTCTCAGCGTGCATTAACTGTTAAGCTTATCAGAGTGTAAAGCACAACAGGAATGTATTGATTCATTGCATTGACTGGACTTCTGTGTGACAGCGTGAGGCTCACTGTGCTTTGTAATAAAACTTGTGTTTACTGTAAACGTGTTCAGTAGTTCTGCAGTTTGTGTGTGTGATGAGATTATTGCCTAAATTTTTGTCAAAAGTTTTTCTTTTGGTATCTGATGAAAGATCTGAGTAGTTGGCAAGTGGGGAATTGATTTTAGTGTCATCATACTGAAAGTGTACAGTGATGCTGCCGCACAGGGGTTTTTAAGTGTGTGACGTCTCTGCTCTGCATGTTTCCTCCAGGCTGGCTGTGTGTGTAACGATGCTGTGATCAGGAACTGTACGCTGATGGGACGACCAACAGAGGGCGCTCTCATCGCCCTGGCCATGAAGGTAGTCACACTTATTAAATGAATAGCTGGGCAAAAAACCAACACTGAAAAAAAATTGGAAGCATTATCGTCACAAGTGTAAATTTAGGGGTTAGGGTTTGGGACAGACACCTCCCAACAGAACGTATCCTATAAATGATGATTTTGTACTTTTTGTGACCATTATTTTTCCCCCAAAATAGTTTAATAAATACATGACATCAAATTATTCAACAACACCTCTTTTATGTGAAACAGTTTCTGTGCTTCCATATAAAATTCTGTTTAGTCTATTTTTGCCTCAAATAGTCTAAAAATGTCAAACGGTGCAGCCATCCAACCATACATGTTGATTACGTAAACTTTTGAAAAAGGTAATTTAATTAAATAAAGTTCTAAATAAAATATTTTATTGCAAAACCCTGTTGCAAAATAAGGCAACTTTAAAAGTGCTTAACTCACTTAAAAGCTTTTGTCCACAAGTTCTTACTTCCTCAAAAGTCAGGCGGCACAGCCAAAAACAAAGGACCTTTATTTTGACATGGTTTAACGAAAGAGGGCCCAGGGTATTGCATCCCAAAGAAGACCTCAAGTGGCCTTCATGATGCAACACCAAGGTCACAGATTTAGTAAAAAATGTAATGTTTGAGTTGCGGTTAGAACAGTTCAGTTTACCATATCAGGTGAACTGACCTCAGGAGAACCATGAAAATGTGGAATTTTTGTTATAACGGTTATTTATTTGAGAAAGTATAAGTATAAACTCAAGTTGAAGGACAAAGGTTTCTACGGGTGTCATAGCAGATGCCTGTTTAATTTGAAATTAGTCTGAAAAGTCAGGCGGCGCAACCAGACCAGCATAGTATAAAAACTGAAACAGGCAATTAAGAGCTCTGATAACACTGACTATACTTAAGATCAGCCAATGCACATATGTATAAATCCAAATATAAATGCATACATCATGTCCTTTTTTATGTTTTTTAAAAATTGCAGTTTTTGAAAACCTTACTTGTCTTTGACCCACATATTTAGCTTATTACAATCTCTATTAATGCCTTGGGTTATATAGATCAGAACGTAGTCCTTGAAAAAACTGATTTTTTTAGGATTTTTTCCAGAGATTCTTAACAGATTTTCGACTTCAATGCAGAAATATTACAGCACAGCATGTCTTGGCTGATTAGCTGTGTTCAAGGTAAGGAGGGAGGGAACATCAGGTTCCTCCTCGTGTTCAGTTCTCTCTCCTGCTCTCCAGTAAGTCACTGTGCCACATTTACCCACTGACTGCCCATCTATTACACTCAAAGCCAGCTTTATATTTACACTCAGACTGACCTGTGGCCACTCAGTGTTTCTAATCTGCTCTGATACAGAGTCTGACAGTAGAACAATAACTAAATACACAAAGCATAGCCGGATATTCCGCTCGATGTTGAGTGGCTGGGTAAACGCAGGCAGCTCCCACAAGTCAAATAAGGTGACCACAGAGTGGCTGTGAGCAGAGCCGTAAGATCATCACACTGTAATAGTGTGATGTAAAAACTGTAATTTTATTTTATTTATTTATCAAACCTCTCTTTTTTGCACATCCCTAATAATGTACCTATTTCGTTGCTTTATTCATTTCCCATTCCTCCAGAAACGTGTTTGATTTCACTTTAATTTTATTTCATTAATTTATCATATTCTTTATTTAAGCTCATTATGTTTCAATGCAAATCTGTTTTTCACAAATGAAACCAGAGTAATAAGTACTTGTGTGACTGAACACGGACGATAAACAGTAAGACAATAAAATGGTGAAATAGACCTTCAAATAAAATACAAGAAAGTAATAAGAAAGACAATAAAATCAGTAAACTAAAAATTAAGAGAACAATCAAAGCAAGCAACTAAAAAAATTAAAATGAATTAATGAAAACACAAACAGGGCAGAAATAATTGTAAAGTAGAAGTGTAAACGTTGGGAGAAATGGGTGATTATTTAAATTAATATAATTAAATAATTATATATATATATATCTCGCTGCTGTCCGATCTCCGCTGATCTCCATCTCTGTGTTTCAGTTTTTGACATAGTTTGAAAATGCCTGTTGTCCTTTACATTGTATGTAAATTTCACGATGAATGGACCAAAAGAAACGACCCAAAATTACTTCTGGTTCCATTGACTTGCATTAGAAGTAAAGTAGGTTTTTTCCTTCTCCTGTAAAGTTACCGTTTTGGAGATATTTGTTCTGATAGCAGTCATATATTATGTGCTTTTCTCATTTTCTCTTGCTGCTCCGTCCTCACTGATTACAGAAAACCACAGATTTGAGCTTTGCTGGTTCTCTTGTAGTTTTTTCCAAGTGACTTTTTTACAGCTGTTCTGATGTCAGCTGAGAACCTGTCACTGCTGGTTCAGCCTCATCGCTGTTTCCACATTGAATCTCCTAAATCTCCTCTGCAACTGTGGTTTCCTATTGAAGTGGGCGTTCATGTGTGTGTGTGTGTGTGTGTCTTTGTGTGTAGATGGGTCTGGAGAGCTTGCAGCAGGAGTTTGTGAGGTTGGAAGAGATTCCTTTCTCCTCTGAGCAGAAGTGGATGGCTGTTCGCTGCGTCCACCGCACTCAGCAGGTCAGTGCTGGCCCTGTTGCTGTGGGGCTGTGCTGATATCTTTCATATCTGCTCATGCTGACACACAAACATGTATAAAATGTAGAAATTGGGACCTCATCCACCTGGATTAGCATCATGGAGAAATGTACATGTTCACATTTCTTTCTGTAGGATAACAAGTGCAGGAAAATGCATAAAATGCCGATATTTTCATGCAATAGCCCAAAACATTCTGCTTTTCTGGAGTTTAGTAAATCAAATGCCAGTCAAATCTGAACGTCTCTCCGATGCTGACCTTTGTTTTTTAAGCAATTATCTGCTTATACAGATCATCGTGCTTTACATTGAACAGATTTAATTAAACTAAATCAGAGCTTCAGGCAAATTATATCTATACAGGATGAGACGTTTGTCCTGATGTTTAAAATGTCATTCCAGACGATCAAGTCACCCCTCATTAAAATCCAGTCATTGGGCCGTAGTCACGTTTGTGAAGAGGTAACACTCAAAGGAAATACAATATATTATAAATTAGCTGACAAAAAATAGAGGGATAAATGGATCGATCGATCGATCACTTCATTAATCCCAGAGGGACAGTCTCCTATTGCAGCAGTACAAAGCACAGTAAAGAGCAAACAGGAGCAAAATAGTGTGTTGCCGTACACTAATTACAGATATATAAAAAGGAAGTAGAGATAAATAATAGGATAAAATATACTAAACAATGAGTAATGTGTGGATGCATAAACAAAGTGACAGTGCAATGTGCAATATTAGTAGACAAATAAACAAAATAAACAGTGTCAGGGCCGTATTAGTTATGATAAACAAAGTGCCAGTGCAGTATTAGATATGATAAAGTGGCAGTGTAATGACATAAGATATGCTAAATAAAGTGGCTGTGCAAAAAAATGTCTTAAGATAAAAATGGATGGTGAGAATCCACATTTCAGTGAAGAATGCACTTCAAATGTCTCAAACGCTCATATAAGAAATACAGATACTTCAGCAAATCTGATAAGATGCTTTATTGTCGCTGCACAGAGTACCAAGAAATTGGCCAGCAAGCCTAACAATGCTGTAACAAAAAAACATTAAACTAGGAATAAAAGAAAAATATAAGCTAATATGAAATGCAAGCTATTAAATGGAAAAGACTATATAATTGAAAATTATAAAAATAATAAATTATATAATATAAATTTATAAAAAAAGTAAAATAAAGGGTAAATATAAAAGAATGTAGCAGCTATGATCTTGCACATGAGGGTATAGCACATTTATGGATGATAGTGACTCTGTGTGTTCCTGTGTTCCTAAGCATAGGTCTCTGTGCTGTTTTAACATTTCAGAGTAATAAGTATCATTTTTCTAATGTTGTGAACTGCAGGACAAGCCTGCGGTGTTCTTTGTGAAAGGAGCTTTCGAGCAGGTCATCCGCTTCTGCACTACCTACCACAGTAAAGGAGTCGCACTTCCACTGACCAACCAGCAGAGGGAGCTGTACCAGCAGCAGAAAAGCTACATGGGCACAGCCGGACTCAGAGGTTCAGAGGAAGCCTGCTTGTTGGAATTCTTGTATACTGTTTGTTTAACACTCGTGGTTAAAATGCTCGTCCCTGCGTGTGACGCTGCTGTTCTCTCTGGCTGCAGTCCTAGCGTTCGCCTCTGGGGGAGAGATGGGCGCTCTCACATTCCTGGGCCTGGTGGGCATCATTGACCCTCCGAGAGCGGGGGTGAAGGACGCCGTGGCGACACTTATCAGCTCTGGGGTGGCGGTCAAGATGATCACCGGCGATTCCCAGGAGACAGCCGTGGCCATCGGTGAGATTTTCTCTTCATTCAGCATAGTAAAAGTAAATAAAATAAGGCCGTGATGGACTAAAATCCAGTCTGCTGCTTAAAACTACAGTGTACGAAAAGACATCTTAACAAGTGAAGTCATCTTAAATGCAGCCTAAATTGGCTGTAGGAATATTATAAGATTGTTTCTTATTTTTAGATTTTTGTATTTTTAAGTCATTTTATCTCAGTGTATTGGCATAGTTTTTCTTGTTTCAGGCATATTTTTTAAAATAAGCTAAATCTGCCAACGTAGTGAGAGAATTTCACTTAAGAAAATTACTTAATACAAGTAAAAAGTCTAGAAATTCAACAATCACAAAATCAATATGTTAGGTGTTTTGACTAGAGTTAAGATATTGTTTTGATTTGACAGCATGATGTTGATTTTATACTAAATATATACACCTCGTATCTGCAAAATGGTAACTTTACAGGAGAAGAAAAAAACCTACTTTACTTTTATTGTAAGTCAATAGAACCAGACTTTTTACCCCAAGTAATTTTGGGTCATTTCTTTTAGTCCATTCATCATGAAATGATGATTACAACGAAAAGGGTAGCAGATATTTTCAAATTACTGAAAAACGACAACAATGGTGTGTGTGTGTGTGTATGTATGTATGTATGTATGTGTATATATATATATATATATATACATACACACACACACACACACACACACATGTATATACCAGCTCATATGTATGTGTGTATGTGCTACAATACAGTATGTGGTAATAAGTCATATTGTCCACTCCAAGAAACAGTTAATTAATCAGCGCAGTACACAGAAAACCATCAGAGACGTGATGAAATACTGGATAATACATTTTCTCTTTCGCGCCCCAGCGAGTCGTCTGGGTCTGTACACTAAAGGATCTCAGTGTTTGTCTGGCGAGGAGGTGGATCTGATGGACATCCAGCAGCTCTCACAGATCGTATCGAGGGTAATCACACTTAATCATTCTCCATCATCATGATGTTCTTCAGCTTTAGCACATATGCTCCGTTCTCCAAGTTCTGTTAGTGCTTAGTCATGAAACGAGCTGGTGTTTTGTCTCATGGCAGATTGTGGTGTTCTATCGAGCCAGCCCCCGACACAAACTGAAAATAGTCAAGGTGAGTAAAGCAGTACAATGATTAGTGCTGTTATTGTTATGTTTAGAGTGAAATTGTTCATTGTAGAGAAACTTAATGACTCAGATTTCTGTACAGTGATGGTAGGAAAACAGAATGTCTCAGACATCAGGCAGCATTTTCATAACCCTTTCATGCAGTTACTCTAGTAGTGTGAGGGAGCTTTAACCACTTTAAATTTAGGTGGAATTCCCGTTTGAAGACTTCTAGTTAAGGCAGTACAGTTGAACTGAACTGAAACTGTTCAGACCTTTTTTAATTTGACTGAATGAAGTGTTTTCTGAAAAGCTTTTAAGTTTTGCCTCAGTTGCTGCTGCACCTTCTTCTTGTTTTTCCTCTTAGTGCCTTTTCTCTAATGTATATGAATACATTTCTTGTTTTTTCTTCTGATTGTGAATATCTTTTGTGTTTGTTTTCCGCCCTCAGTCCCTGCAGAATATCGGGGCTGTGGTTGCCATGACGGGTGATGGAGTGAACGATGCTGTAGCGCTGAAGGCGGCGGATATCGGCGTGGCGATGGGGCAGACGGGCACGGACGTGTGCAAGGAAGCCGCTGATATGATCCTGGTGGACGACGACTTTCAGACCATCATGTGAGCCACGGCTGCTGAACTCACGGTTTTATTCTGTGGTGTTCTAAACTTATTCTGGGACGTTCGGTCCCAGTTCAGTTTGTAGGTCACTTTAGAGAAGTGTTGTTCAACCAGAAGTCAAACCAAAAAGTTTTACACAGTTTTTTTCCCTGAATCAGCCAAAAAATTGTTGATGTTTGAAGTGTGCTTCTTTGGTTTTACACTGAAGCTACAGGGTTAATGTAGCTTATGGACGCCAATTGTGCTTAAGTCTAGTGTTTTGCACCAATACTGTATCTGTATTGGCACTGATACTGGCACTCAAACGCAGTATCGAGATCTGTGATGGGAATACCGATATATGACCGATACTGCAAAGCAGTTTCTGCATGCGTGTGTGCCAGTAGACAGAAGTTGACAACACGTCGGTGATGTGGGCTGACATGCAGCAGTAAAAACGCTCATGGCAGCATTTGGTAAAAAAAAACACGCTAATGGAGCTGCTTACCTGAAAGGCTGAGCTGCTTCTTTCAGTAATCGCTTGTCTGCCGCTGTGTGGTCACTCACAGTCTGAGTTAACCGCCTTAATGATAGCATTTAGCCTTGATTTAGCCTTCAGCGTAGCAGCCTACTAGCCCAGCCTGTGCATCCACTAGGCCCACCTGTGGTGCACCTCTGTCAGTCAGCTGTATCACTCAGCAGCGGGGTCTCCCGGTCAAGCTTGTCGCTTCAACCGGGCCAGAAAAAAACACAAAGTCACTGATACTGACAGCGTGAACAGTGATATTTACTGAACTGACGCTCAGAGATGCAGCGCGAGTGAATAAGACGCACGTCTGAGACAAACGACTCAAGAAATTTGGAAGTGAAACAACATTCAGCTCCGTTGTTAAACCAGAGAAGCTGCTGTGTGCTGATGTGTAAACACCACAGGTTCATCTGTTTACTGTCCAGCTCTGTTTTTCACTGTTCTGCGCAATAAAGATGTTTAACAACTTATGTCAATGTAAAATACGGTTCTTAGTACTAATGATATAATAGTAAATACTAAATATTCACAGTAAATAACCAAAAATAAGTTGTCTTAAAGCCACCTAGCCGAGTAGGTTTTTTTGTGTTTGTGATGCAGAACACAGATTTTACCAAAATAAAATATTTTGAAAATGTAACTTTATACTGTATGAAACTCTGTTATAAACTCGGTCTAAAGTACACTAGCATAGCTGAAACCAGTAGCATGAGAAATTAAATAAATTTAAATTTTGTCCATTCTTTTGTCCATCATAGACAACATTGCATTATGTGTTGTCGTTTGTGCCGAAGAAAACTTCAGAATCCAAATACGTTTGGACTGGTGGGCTACATTTGGGTACATTTTGATGTTATTTTTCACGTTAATGAGCTGTTGGTGTTGAACCCTGTTTCTGTTGTTTACTCCAGGTCGGCCATAGAGGAGGGCAAAGGCATTTACAACAACATTAAGAACTTTGTCCGTTTTCAGCTCAGCACGTGAGTATTTAAGATCGCTTCGTTCACTGAAAGAGGGATGGTAGAAAATGTCAATGCAACATAGTATCAAAATATTTTGTTTAAAAAGGTTTTGAAGGAATAATATTCAGTCAGAAGTAATAAATCACAGTTAAGCACTTCATATCATACCGCAGTAACATGATGGTGTTTTAGTGATTTCCACTAAAACACTATCCTACTATATCAATTCTATATCAGTATGTCAATTCCATTGTGATCACTATATTAATTCCAGACCAGAAGGCAACACAGGGACAAAGCTTTTATCTTCAGACTGCCTGATGGAGGTGCTGTTGAGCAGAAAAGTTGTGTACTTGTCTGTAAAACTTGTCCCACCTTTCAGTAGACCTCTCTTAAGGCCCTTTCGAGCCGTTGGCTTAGCTAGAGCACTGTCTTCTGGATGAATAAAATCCTTTAGATTACTTGAATTTATTTGTTTTTCATTATAAATGCTATTGTTTGATTCCTGTGTCCTCAGGAGCATAGCTGCCCTCACGCTCATCTCTCTGGCGACACTCATGAACTTCCCGAACCCACTGAACGCTATGCAGATCCTCTGGATCAACATCATCATGGACGGACCACCTGCTCAGAGGTAACCAACACGCTGCGTACAGGCTACAGATTCGCACCACAGACAGACTTGATGTTCTAATACTCTGAGAAATCACAGCACCTTACATAACCTCACCACACGAGGCATTTTCAGTCCATACTGTGCAGCTCTAGTTTATACAACATCTGTCTGTAACGTTTCCGATCTTGTTGCTGTTGTTGGCTGCAGTTTGGGCGTGGAGCCTGTAGATGGCGACGTGATCCGGAAGCCCCCGCGGAACGTGCGGGACAGCATCCTCACCCGCAACCTGATCGTGAAGGTGCTGGTCTCGGCCTTCATCATCGTCTGCGGCACGCTCTTCGTCTTTTGGAGAGAGGTGTGTTAACAGGTTTAACTCATTTTCCAGCAGCGTTTCTTCACTCTACACCCGTGTTTTCACTGCCCTGTACCAGTTTCCTCAAACTGCATCGCGTAACCAAGAACTAAAATTTACAAGGACTAAAATATGGGCAAAATTCAGGCATCAAGGTGCTGCTACTGTTGTTTTTAGCTCTGTTTTATAATTTTAGCCTGTGTTTATAGATAATAGAGTTTCATCCAGTGTCAGAAACCATGTAATCTATAATCTGTTAGATTACTGAACAATTCTGCATGGTTTGAAGCGAGTATGTGATGGTTTAGGTTCATTTAGGTAATTTAGCAATTAGCACCATGCTGATTAGTGAGGTGAAAGGTTTTATTGTTTAACTTCGTTTGCCTCATAGCTCTGTTGTGAAACTACAGAAGCATCAATTGATTACATTTGGGGAAAAATGTAGATTTGACCTTTTTCATTCAAATAAGTACTTTGGCCGCACTTTATTTGAATGGTTCCCTATAGATGCTCTACAGATACTTAAATCACTAACAGACTTTCTGGTGATGTTCAGTTGATTATCAACAACATTATGGGTTAGGAGTAGGTGTAGGTTTTGCCTCCAGGTTAGATTAGGGTTACTGTTAGGGTTTAGGATAGAGTTGATAAACTCTTTCACACCGAGCTTGAAGTTTAGTTGCATTTAATGGAAATTTAGTTGAATCTTACTTTAACCCTTTGATGTTCTGCTCAACCATTTGGTAGAGCACATTTTGAGTCACTATATACGCCACAAAGTGCCATCTTGACTGGTTGATGTGAATATTTTAAAAATTGTGGGTTCAAAAAAAGGAAAAAAAAAAAACCACCAGTTGTTTTTATTATTGCTCCAAACAAATAAAAAATACAAAAAATAAAATTCCTTTGCTTTTTTCTTGGTGAGGACATTAAAGGTTTAAAGATACACTGAGTATTTACAAGCATCTAGAATGGACCATCCAAATATTGTATTCTATTTACTGTCACCATGCAAAAGTTGGAGAGCTTTTATTTATTTCCAGTTAAAACACCCATTGAGCACACGATATCAGTTTTTAGGAGATATTTGTAAGTAGATTAGATAAGATAATCCACTTGCATCATGAAGGAGAAAGTCAAAGGAAAAAAAGTGGAAAAACAGGAGTTTCCAGAACTGGAGATCAAAAGACAATTAAAAGCTACAGAGAAAAAATTTCTTTGGGAGACTGAAAGTGAGTCTCCTGACTGGAAGCTGTAATAAAGGGAAAGCGTGGACAAAACAAATACTAAAAAATACTATTTTAGTTAATCAGACTTCGGTGTGTCTTTCTGTTAAATAGTAATGTTGCTGATGCAGAAAAAATGGAAATGAAATGAGGGAAAGGTGGTCTCTGACTTTCGCTCAGTGCTGTATCCACTGCAGGTCTGTTAAGGAGAGTGTGAGTGACTCTGTGATCTCAGTCTGACTGATGTTTCTGTGTTGTGTTCAGCTGCGGGACAATGAGATCACGCCACGCGACACCACCATGACCTTCACCTGCTTCGTCTTCTTCGACATGTTCAACGCCCTCAGCTCGCGCTCGCAGGTACACGGACACGTCCACAAACAGGCCACATGTGAAAACTAAGCTGAACTTCATTGTTTTTGTGATGTCACAAAAACCAACACATTTACAAATACGGTCAAGGTTTTAGGAGCTCCTGGTCAAACTACAAGAGCATGCATGAAGTGAAATAAGTGAAGATAAGTGTTGTATTTTCACCCAGAAAACCAAGAATTTGGCCATGGGCGCCCAAAATTCTGCATATGACTGTATCCGAAATAAGAATACAGTATGTCCTCTTGTCTTTCTCTCCACCTTAAATAAACTATATACACTGCTAAAGCTCTCCTCCGATAATCGTCCGGTTTCACCTGTAGAAAGGCCACCTTGCCAGCGTTAGCATGGCTACATGCCGTTGTTGGCCGCAAACCACTATGAAGTGCAGAATGAAGTTTTAACATGCGAAAGCAGCTTTAGGGATCAAGAGAGGTTGGAAATATTCATGCAGCTGTTTTTGTAGCATCATAAAGTGAATAAAACACAGGAATGGTGGATATAGGCCTGGTTTATTTGTTCTATATTATATATATATATATATATATCTTCCATTTAAATTTTTTGACATAATTTGAAAAGGCCAGTTGCCCTTTATGATGCGTCAGATTGGAAAAAATTCTTTCTCTATTAACTTTCATTAAAAGTTAAGAATGTTTTTCCTTTTCCTGTAAAGTAGCCTTTTTGGACATACAAGGTTTTATTCCAACTGTTATATATATAATAATGTGTGTGTGTGTGTGTGTGTGTGTGTGTGTGTGTGTGTGTGTGTGTGTGTATATATGTATGTATGTATTATATTGATGTGTGAATGTTTGTTCATTTTATATATACAAGTTTAAAAGCAGTCCTAATAGTCATAATATAATTTGACTAAACAGTTAAAATAGTCATGTGAGTCAGTTATTACTTATTATAGTCATAATCAGTTATTACGTCTCTGACTTTGCCCTTTTAGAGATAGCAGAGCAAAACAGTCCAGCAGGGCAGAGACTCTGACCCTTACTGATGGTCGGTGTAGCTGATTAATGATTTTTACAGACTGATAAGAAAATGCGGTTCATGTCTCTCTGTCCAGACGCGGATGGTCCATGAGATGGGGCTGTGCAGTAACCGGACGTTCTGCTATGCCGTGCTGGGCTCCATTATGGGTCAGCTGCTGGTCATCTACTTCCCTCCCCTGCAGAGAGTCTTTCAGACGGAGAGCCTCAGCATTTTAGGTAACCCTGAACTGTGCAGAAAGGCTGGAGCAGATGAAGATGAAGACAGCAGCTCACACAAACCAAAGTCTAAGGATGGACTGGAAAAATAAGATCATAATGTCTTTCTTTTTACAGTTGAGGCATTCAATTTTAAGGTGATCCTAAAGTCTTGGTTCCAAAGGCAGCATGTGTATCCAGCAGTCACCATTCCTGGCTGAAGGATTGATGAACGGCAGAGTAAAAATAAGCTCAAAAGAGCGTGAGAGCGTGAAAGGAAGAGAGCAGATCGTAGAGCTAAATAAGGGGAACTGAGAACACTGCTGCTGACTATGACACAAGTCAAATCACGAGATGCAGTCGTATGCAATAAAAAATCATAAAAAAATAAAATGTGCAACCTTTTTGGAAATGCCTTTAACCAACATGATAAAGTCATATTTGACTTTGTGTACACTAGGGGTGGGAATCTCTAGGCACCTCACGATTCGATTACGATTCAGAGGGCTGCGATGCGATTATAAAACGATCATCGGTGCATCTTTTTTCCTATATAGCATTTATATTTTCTCACTGTGTGAGCTCAAGGGGAATCGCTGTGTCAGTAAAGTATCTGTGAGACGGGTCGTGTGCAGCATAGCGCCAAAGCCCTGTTTCGCAACGACTGAGAACCGGCGTGCAGACTGCAGGTCACATAGCAGCGATGCGCTACTCGCATTTATAAGCAGCGCAGTTGGTTTCCTGGTATGTTAAATCTGTAACGAGAGACTGTCAACACTAAAAAGTGGCGAAGATGAAGTCAGCTTCTCTTTCGAATTCTCCCGTTCCACCTTAAATGGTGCCGCATTTACGGCGCCTCAGTTAGAATTTAAGGTGGAACGGGTAAATTCAAACAAGAAGCTGGAGAATAAGAAGTGACTTCAGCCTCGTAAAACAGTCGAACTTTGAGACATTTTACAATAAGCTGATCTACTTCTGAAGAAAAGTGTCCTGGCGGAGATGGGAGGAAAGCGGCAAAAGCTGAAGCTTAAAGCAGAGTAGAGTAAATCTGCGCTCTCGTTTATATTGTTTATCCTACACTAGGACATCATCACATACCGAGACATACTGGACATTAAATGTTGTGGCTCCCAAGGTGGTTTGATTTTTGCTGAAAGGACAAAATGGCTCTTCTTATCATTTGCGTTGCGACTCCTGACCTAACCTGGCTTTAATGCAGAGGGAGCCGGTCGGATTTCTCACTCATCCAGTGGTGTTTTTGTTATGTGCCGCCACAGACTGTCCGGGCGCTGCACTTACCCACTTCCAGGTTCCGCCCTTTGCGTTCCGTCAACATTACGTTATAAATTAAATATTTTGAAAATCGCATTATTCTTGACATTTGTGAATCGATTCAGAATCGTTCATGTCTGCCTCACGATGCATCTAAGAATTGATTTTTTCCCGCACCCCTATTGCACTATGTGGTGTGAATGTTATTTTCCATGAAGCACATAATATGTAAGTCCAGTAAAGGTAAAATGACGGTAAAAGTAAGTAAAATACAAAAAGCTGGTTAAAAGCTGAAGTGAAGATTTTAACAAAAGGCCGCTTCGCTGTAAACCTTTTCACTTCTTCACAAACAGAACTGAAAGTAAAAAGTTGGGCAGTTTTGTTAGAAGCTGCTTCACATTCAAAGATTGTTTTGAAAACTTAGTGTTGCATAAAGTTTGTCGTTGTAGGCAGTGAAAACTGAAATTGTTGGTAATATTTCATGAAGGTTGACAGTGTTTGTTTGTTTGTCTGTTTTGTTTTTTTCTAAACTTTAGTGGATTAATTGTTTGGTAGCTGAAAGTTTCCTGAAACTTTTTTCAGGACAATTAACTCCAATTTAGGGAGCTCACATAATGACAGTAATCACAGTAAAACTTTTTTTATTTTATTCGTTTATTTATTCTTATTCTTGTCAGTAAGTTATGTGAGAAGTTAAAAATACACAATTTGCAACAAACATGAATCGATAAACAACAGGAATTGATGTTGTGTAAAGTATTTTTGTCGCTAAAAGCCGATGGAAACAAGTTGACGGGCAGCAGAAATCACTTATTTTTTGACACATTTTCATTTTATGGCTTGCAGTTTGTGCTAAAACTCGATGGAAATGTAGCTGCTATTTATTTTCTCCTCTTTTCTTGTTTTTTCTCTCTGTCCGAGCAGACCTGCTGTTCCTGGTGGGACTGACCTCTTCGGTGTGCGTGGTCTCCGAGGTCATAAAGAAGCTGGAGCGCTGGAGGGAGGGAGAGAAAGCCGAGGCTGCTGACACTTTCCACGACGTATGACGCACGTTGCGTCCCGTGACGAGGGCGGCGGTGCAGGTTTGGGGGACTGTGTGAAGGGGCGGGGTTTTGGACATGCACTGGCTGGGTCCACGTCTAAAGACTTCAGTACGGAGCAGAAGGAGAGGTCAGCGGTCGCCCCGACGGGCCTTTTTTGAGTCCACGTTCTGAGTTTCGGACTGTTCAGAGCGGACCTCAGTGCCGTGGGAGAACCTGCTGCCCCCTTCTGGCCTCCAGGTGAAACTGCACTGGCCTCGAAAACCATCCTGTTTCCTGAAGATGCTTTGGTGTGCTGCTTTAAGACTGTACTACTTTTCCATAGCATCTGGATGAACCTTTATTTATCAGATACTGTGGCTGTTGATACAGTGGCTGTTGATGTCTCTGTTTCATGATATATATTTTTTATTATTATTTGTTTTTTTTTTCTCTCTCTCTCTATCTCTATTTCTATCTCTCTCTCCCTGAAGTGAGCACACTTTGCTGGTTGTAGTTTTGTGGAACAACATGGGTACAAATGCCTTTTTTGCATTCCAGCAAATCATGCTTGAGTTAATCTATAAGTGTCAACACTTGGAGGAAAAAAAAATAATAACTCACCCTGCCAAACAAGAGCCAGAGTGTTTTTTTTATATTATAATTATTATTATTAATGTCTAATACAGCTGACCACTTTTCTGCAGTGGGAAACGATTAACACGCAACGGGCGTTTAGACAATTTTATAAGCATCGTTATGCACTGTTGTTCGATTCACTGAAGAAATGAACGCACCAAGGTTAAAATTATCATTGAAGATGATGAACAATCATCTAATCGCTAATTCTAAAGGGTAAAGATGCGTTTTAAAGTGGAATTTCCACCACATTTTCAAAATTTCTGCAGAATGTTTTGTCATTCAGAGTGGTTTGTTGTGAAATGCTCCATTCTAGAGTCAGAATTGTTCACGGTGGTGGTGATAGGAATCAGACGTCCACCTCTAAAAGCTCCCTCACAGAAAGGTATTACATATAAATGGTTGTGAATTCACTGCCTGATGCCTGACATTAGAGAACGCTGATGTCTCAGACATTGTTTTACACTAGTTTTGAGAATTTCGCCGTAAAGTATATTTATAAAGTATAATTTTTGAAGCCCATTCATGCCAGAAAGATACATGCAGTGCTTTATGAGGCAAAATAGTCCCTATTAGAAAACTAATTTATCAGCGCTTTCTCATCGTCAGTGTTACATATGAAAGGCGTGTAGGTTCACTTGCCATTTTGGGTAGTAAATAGTGTCTATATTTGTGTTGTAGTCATGGCGACCCCTGGTTCCTGTCACCACCACTGTAAAGACATCTGAACCATTTCACACCAAACCACTGAATCACTCTGTTTACATCTCACACATTAGAGAATGCTGAAATTCTGTGAAAATAGGTGGAGTTCCCCTTTAAAGTGTTACTTATTAAGAAATTTACCATCAGGATAATAATTAAGGGTACTACATTGTTTGTTTTCATCTGAAGGATATTTGGGCACTGTGGAAAACGCGTTCTTTTTTGCTTCTTTATGCCGAAGCTGCGACTCTTTTTTGAGAAGTATTTCTACTTTTGGGCCGTTGGAGTTGCCGTAGACATGCAGTGTGTTCCTCGTAGTGGACGGGTAGCTTATGCAGTACTGTTGGTTTACATGTAGCTTCGCTGTAGAGATCCTGATTGGAGTTTTAGGGGGAGGTTAAAGTGGTGATTCGTCACGAGTGTTGTAAAAGCAGCATAACTGGGGCTGCACGATATGGACAGAATCCCATACAGCTGTTATATTGCAGTGTATAGCTGTGGGAATCGCAACGTAATGTAAAATGTATTAAAAGCACGTTAGTGAATCAATAATATGAATCAGTTTGCATATATTGACCAAAAGAAGCTTTGGGTTGTACAAATGCCTTAATACATCCAAAACATCCACACACACTCGTCTGGTACGTGTTAGAATCGATCAGGAGCCATAAAACCTTCACTGGTGTGTTCGAGGGCTTGTTTATGTGCTGCAAGCCCTGCCGTGATCGATATTTCAAAGGCCCAGTATCGCGATAATGAGCAACAAATGATGTATCGTGCAGCCCTGCAACACTTCTCTGCCTTTCTTCATATTGAGGAACGGCTCAATACACTGAAATTTCGCAGTACGTGTTTCTTTCCTCTTTATAGCAGTAAGCGGTTCTCTGAGGCCACATTTACTCTCGCGCACCAATCACTGGGGAAAATAAACATGCTTTTATTTTGGTAAGATTTTCATTTTCCAAATGCAGGCCAGTCACAGTGTCCCTGTTATGGAAATATCGAATGAGGGGTGATGGAAGGGTTTGGGTTTTTGATTTCATTTTTTTTTTTTAATGCTTTTTAATTTATTTTGTGTTATGCACAACAGAAGTCGGAAATCTCGTTGCTATTTCAGAATACAGTTGTACATTAAAATTTCTACAGATCTTTAAGAACAGTTGCGTATGTTGTGTATTTTTGTTTCTTTTCTCCATCAAAGCAGTAAAAATATTTAGATTTTAATGATTTTAATGATTTTGAAAAGGTGGGTTCAAATATTAACACAATGGATAATTTTAGATAAAATATTCAATTTTATTGTTTTTTTTAAAGGTATGAAGCACATTTCAAAGTATTTCAAACATATTCCTGTGACAGTTTATTAATGCACGACAGATTTTATTGCACTGTATTCAAAAACATTCAGTAAAGTACTGAAACTTTTATAGTGTTATGTACAAAACAAACCCTGGAATCTTTTAGCTTAACTCCATTATTAAAATCCCGTTAAAAATACATGCAGTTCAGTAGAAAAAGTCCATTCTACAATAAAGAAACGTTAAAATCAGAGCGACAGTGATGAGCTGGGATCATCAACAGTATTTTCATACGGTTGAGCAAGAAAAGGAGAGGAGTGTAAATATTGAAGAGCCGTCTGAATCAGTGAGTCAGCGAATGACCACGCAGGTTTACATCGCAGACCTTTTATATGAAAACTGTGGTTTTAAATGTTTGACTATGTAGCCGATTAACTGGGGCCTAAGAATAACAAGCTGCCCAATATTTACAGAATGGCTGCATATTCTTATTCTTATTGCTAGACTGTGGAAAATGAAGGGAAGCCAATCAAAAAAAACTGCAATATAGATGAAACACTTTCACATTCGTGGAAATATTAAGTGTGACTTGGTCGATAAAGCACACCGTGACAGGAAATGACCTCATTACACAAAGCTTTTACATCACTATAAGAATTTTGGGAAACGAGCTACGACAAAATTTGCGGAAAAAAATTGCATTATTTTAGTTTTCTTGCTTGTAACCTGCACAGGAAGTCGACGGAAACCTGGTTAGTGAATCACTCAGTGAATCAATTACTTCAATATTAGTTCAATTAGTTCAATGAATCAGTGAATCGCTCAGTTAGGAATACTGATTGTTCTTGGACTGCTGATTCAATCAAATGTCCTTTATTCCCAGCAGGAACGCTCAGATTTCTTGGCTTTTGGATCCCTTTTGCTGGTCCTGCTCTTGGCCTTGTGTCTCGTGCGGATCAAGCATTTTTGTTCATAAATCTCGTCGTCTTGGTTGTCAGCCTTGCCCTTTTTCCCTGTGCGTGGATCTTCCTCATCGTCCTCATAGATGAGATACATGCTTATGTCGTCCGTGAGCTCCCGACGCGCTGGACGCTCGCTCGGCTGGGCCCGTTTCACTTTGGCCCTCATCCTCCTGACCAAGTCTTCGTCCAGCTCGCGCTCCACGGCCTCCCTCAGCGTTTGGTAGAGATGCAAGGCGTGAGGAGCTCCGGCCAGCAGGGATTCAGGAGTGATGCCTCTGCTCATCTCAGTGATCACATGGTGCAGGAAAAGGCCACTGTACAACCTTCACAGCAAAAACAAGAGAGGATTTCATAAATATCCCAGTGTAAAATAAGTGAACACCCTCAGTGCTCAGAATATAAAAATATGAAAATGCCATCGATATCCTGGATATAAAAACTAGTGAATGCCCATCGATATCCCTGGAATACAAAAATTAGAGGACACCCTTGGTAACCCATCAGAATGGGCAGTATGGCAAAAATGTAGCATCAAGATACTTGAATAGATCTTTACATTGCTCAGTGTATTAAGACCTTTCAGCTTTTCTTAAAGCTAAACTTTTTGAACGAGTTCAAATAAACAACAAAAACTGTGCCGCACTGAATAGTGAGTACAATTTTTTTCATTCAGCACTTTCAAAAATAGTCTAATAAGAAGGAAGATCAAACAAAAACAGACTTGAGGGTGTGAGAATGCCACTGCTGGCTTGAATGAAGTCTGGTGACTCAGTTTTTGCCTGAAGGTGCAGTGAAGGTTTGCATTACTGTTGGCTTAATCATGATCATGCCAGCGAGGCGAGGTGCATCATGCCTTAGTGACTCATAATAACTGTGTTTCCCTGTTCTGCATGTTTTGGTCTTCCCTCTCGAGGAGGTTAATGAGGTTAAAGATCATCAAGGAGAAATGATCTGATTGGTTGGATCAGGTTGTGCTACAGCAGGGGAAACTCCAGAATATGTAGGACAGGGAGCCAGCAGGATCAGGCTTGACTAACAGAGCAGTGGTGATTATTCAGCTCTGACGGTGTGGAAGGTGGAGGTGGTGTTTACCGTGCGTATTCTGGTTCAGGCACTGGATTGTTCAGCAGCTGGTTGAGGCAGATACTGTCCCTCAGACTGCCCTGCCACTGACTGTAAGCGTGAGCTGCCTCCAGGTCCAGAGGAGTCTCCTCTTTACGGCTTTTCAGGTTCCTCAGCCTTTTTGGCAGCTCTGCAAAGCAGGAAGGGAAAATGGTATGAGTGAAATTCAACCAGAGAAGGTTCATTAGCTCTGATAGATTCTCCACAACATGCACATAATAAACAGCATCTTCTCACATTTCATTTGCTTATTTCTGCCTCGTAGCTCATTGAAACAAGCAGAGAAATTGTGTGGAAAGTGCTGATAGTAAACTTTCAATCCAGACCACATTTGTGTTTAAGTACAAAAGGTGATATTTTATCATGATTTGAATTTAGGTTATTGTAGTTTTATTTCTGCCTTTACATTTTTGCTGTGTTTTGTAATTTTTAGGCAGGAAAAGTCAGGATTTTGGACTCAATCCTGTCAATACAGAAAGTGAATTGAACGTAGTTGAAGTTCATTCCATAACCAGCACATTGTAGCTGTTGGAACAAAACATTGAATCTCAATTTTTGCCTTTTTTAATTTTTTTGACATAATATGAAAATGCCAGCTGCTCTTTACATGGCGTGAAAAAACACAATAAATGGACCAACAGAAATGGTTCGTTCCACTGTACAGTTATCACTTTGGACATACTTTTTCTTTGGATAGGCTGGAGATTCCAGGTTTGAATTAAAATATGGAAAAAAAAAAAACTTTTCCATAAAACCGTTCCGATCCCGTTACTATAAGCAAGCTAATTGTTGCTTGTTTGGTTTGGCCAAAATTAACATTTAAACAGTTTTCTACTTGTATGTTTACACAGTGCTAATTGGTGGGATAGAAGCTTCTATCACTGGTTAGCTACATGAGCCTCGCAGCTCCAATAAAAAAGCAAACTTCAGGAACTAAACACATCTTGGCTGGTCAACAACAGGATGAGGGGAATTTTCTGCTGAGCTGCCCAGATAGCGAGAGGTCAGTGGGCCCTTGTTGGTCCTGATAGCAAAGCTGGTGGTCCACTGGCGTTTTGCTCAGTGTTTTCCAGGTAGCCCACCAGAGTTTAAGCAGAGTATTAGACAAAATTCCACTGATCATCGCTCATTTTCCCTCACAGTCCAGTTTACTGATTTTTCCTTCTTTCCTTTAGTTATACTGTGTAAATTAGTTTAGTAAGTAATTTTCATCCAGAACAGTGTCAGCAATGTTTTTATAAAATCGTTTTACATTAGGCCTTTTTTTCAGCTGTTTGTAATATTTGTCTTAGTTTATTGTCTTATTTTCTAAAATAAAAGTCTCTGTGCATTTAAAAAACCTGTTTGAGGAGATTAAAAACTAGTTAGAGTCTGTGTGCAGGACAGTAATCGGGGTGGTCTGAGGATGGATATATATATAATATGCTATCTGGGTACCACTGTAATCTCCTTATATAATACCTTGGCTGTGATTTATTAAAGCCAGAGAAGTTGTATATTCACCTTTCTCTGTAAGTGGATCTCTGGACAGCTCTCCGTACACCAGGCCGACCAGCAAGGCCCAGAAGAATTCTGGTCTGGGCTCAGGCTCTGCGCGCTTCAGCCAGTAGCATGTGACGTACACGGCCAGCTGGAGGTTTGCAGGCACGAGGAGCTCGTCAGGAGCCTGAGACACACACAAAGCGTCCAAGAAGACCTCAAGCCTCAGATTCTGTGGCGTCTAGAAGATAAAAGAGCAGATTTACAGAGTTACTTTACAGAGTTATTAGAGTTTGGAGGAGGTCAAACAGCAAACATTGTCATATTAGTTATAGTCCTGTCATGCGTTTACTTAGAGGGCCCACATTCTGTATGTTTGAATGGTGACCATTATCCACATTGATCCTTCAGCTTCCCGACAGCCAGAAACAGCACAACATTTAATCGTTTTCCCACTTCCACTCTAACAACTCTGAACATCGCTCCACAGTGCTTCAACAGGAAGCGCTGTGCTGTAGGCTGAAAGGGTGGGGCTAAACTGCTGTAGGCTGAAGGGGTGGGGCTAAACTGCTGTAGGCTGAATGGTGGAGCTGAACTGCTGTAGCTGAATGGTGGAGCTGAACTGCTGTAGCTGAATGGTGGAGCTAAACTGCTGTAGCTGAATGGTGGAGCTGAACTGCTGTAGCTGAATGGTGGAGCTAAACTGCTGTAGCTGAATGGTGGAGCTGAACTGCTGTAGCTGAATGGTGGAGCTAAACTGCTGTAGCTGAATGGTGGAGCTGAACTGCTGTAGCTGAATGGTGGAGCTGAACTGCTGTAGCTGAATGGTGGAGCTGAACTGCTGTAGGCTGAATGAGTGGTCATATGGATATATGATTGTGATATCACAACCATGGCGAATTGAAAACGGGCTGTTTTTGCAGATCAGTTTCCAAGCAATGTTTACATTCTGTATTTATTACTATTAAAAAAAAAAAGCTAGGAAATTCTGCATTACCTCCCACAGTGTGTCCAGCTGAAGGTTTGGCAGGATGGCTGGAACCTTGGAGCTGGTTAGCGTCAGCCCCTGCCTGTCATACTCCTCTACCTCGTACTGCTCTTCTTCTGCGGTGGCCTGCAGCATTAAGCCGTAAATGACCTGCCGTATGGGCCTGGAGGTCAGGTTGTTGCTGCAGAGGCTAAAATCCTGGACTGAAAATTTGAGAGTGACCCTGTGCAGCGTGAGGACGTCAAGAAGGATGGAGTTGAGCTTCCCCTCGCCCAGGGCCTTCAGGAACCACTCCGGCAGGCTCTGTAAA